GAAGCACTTTATTAGAACTAAGATTGCCGCACACTGCACACTGCACTTACCCTATAATCCTTATATACCACCTATCACATCAGCACTTTTAATTCTGTACCCATTACTCTGGCCCGGCCCAGTTTTTATTGTGTTTTGGTGTATTGTTTATTGTTTGTTGTTTTGTTGTTTAATATTGCTTTAATTGTTTTTAATTTGCTTTAGGTTTTGTATTGTTATGTTGTGTATTGAGGCCTTGGCCTTTGTAAGCCGCATCGAGTCCTTCGGGAGATGCTAGCGGGGTACAAATAAAGTTAATAACAATAATAATAATAATAATAATAATAATAATAATAATAATAATAATAATCGGTAAGGTAGCCAAAATGGGGAAGTGTGGACCTACTGGAACGAAGATTTGAGAGAAAGGGAAATAACATCTCAGCTGATCGTGCATACTACGGGCATGGAAGCTTCTAATTTAGCAGCATACATGAACATTTCCCTCATGATATGTGACTGTGGATTTCTTTACCATTAGTCAAAATGACAGCTCACATGCCTGTCAGTCTCCTGATACTAAGTGCAACGTTTGTGCATACCTCAGTCTTTGTGGTGACAGCCAGTGACTTGTTCAGTCTCGTTGTTGTGTCCAAGGATAAACTTTAAATATGCTCATAGCCACTTTTTGGGACTGTTTTCATGATTTACAGTTGCAGATTAATCCAGTATTCTACTGCCGAAAGGGACAGAGAGTTTCATCTATGCTGACGATCATACCATCACCACCCAAACAGGGAGCTTGGAAATGGTTGAACAGAAGCTCTCCGAAGCTTTAGGTGCCCTTATGGCCTATTACAGGGAATACCAGCTGATTCCTAAGCCATCTAAAACACAGACGTGTGCTTCACACCTTAAGAACAGACAAGCATCTTGAGCTCTGAGAGGATTCCTTGGGAAGGAATCCCACTGGAGTATTGCAGCACACCCAAATACCTGGGAGTTACCCTGGACCATGCTCTGACTTATAAGGAGCACTGCTTGACTATCAAAAAGTGGCCGCTAGAAATAATATCATACGAAAGCTGATTGGCACAAATTGGGGATCACAACCAGACACAGTGAAGACATCTGCCCTTGCACTTTGCTACTCTGTTGCTGAATACACATACCCGGTGTGGAACACATCTCATCACGTTAAAACAGTGGATGTTGCTCTTAATGAGACATGCCACATTATCATGGGATGTCTCCGCCCCACACCACTGGAGAAATTATACCATTTAGCCAGTATTGCACCATCTGACATCTGCCAGGAAGTAGCAGCCAATAATGAAAGGACCAAGGCAGTGACATATTCACTCCATCCCCTGTTCAGATATCAGCCTGCACACAAATGCCTTAAATCAAGAAACAGCTCTACAGAGATACTTGCAGGAACACCTCAGTAAGCAAGAGTCCAAAATGGCAGGCTAAAACCTCAATCCATGGCTGATATCGAATGAGAAACTCCCTCCTGAGCACACAGAAAACTGGGCAACTTGGAAGGCGCTGAACAGACTGCTCTCTGGCACCATGAGATGAAGAGCCAACCTTAAGAAATGGAGCTACAAAGTTGAGTCCACAACATGTGAGTGTGGAGAAGAGCAAACCACAGACTACATATTACAATGCAGTCTGAGCCCTGCCACAGACACAGTGGAGGACCTTTTTATAACTACATCAAAGGCACTCCAGTTGACCAGCTATTGGTCAAAGGACACTTAGTATAATGTCAAGTGTTTAAGTTTGTTTGTGTTTTTAAATATATTACAACTGTACCCTCAATTCGCTTCTGACACGATAAATAAAATCCAGTAGAAGGTGGTGTTATAGTTGGAATTGGGGTTGTGGTGAATCGAATGAGAAAAAATTAAGTTCAGTCAGGGTTTAGAAAAGTTCATTTTTTAGAATGGAAGTTTTCCCCACAGCCTGGATATTCTTAATACTATGGGGAAAGCTATGAGCTGTATAAGCCTTTATGCAGATTTTAAATATGTTTTAAAGTATAAAGCTTGGCAATCTCTTTGCAGTCCTTTTAGCCTTTGATTAATGAAGGATTCATTAATCAAAGTGACTTTTGGATTGGCAGTGGATCACACTGTATACATATTTTTCTCTGTTTATATTAGAGCCCATCTTTCAACTATGTGTACTGAAGGCAACGTATCAGCACAGTTTTAAAACACTTCTCCCCCAATAATGAATTCAGTGATAAACCCATCAGGACCAGATTGTGTTTCTGGCATCATTAGCAACACAAAAGCAGCAGAAGATTGTAATGTCTTCCATTCAGACAAAATCCAGGGGAAATAAGAGACTTTTTTTGACACCTGAAGGGTTACATCACAGGTACCAGGTGGGCATCTTTATAAGGATCTATTAGAGTTGGGGCATTACTACAGAAGGAGTCGTAGAGCTAGTTGCCATCTGTGCAGCGGAATAACCAGAGGAAATTCTTAGTGATCTCACTACTTTGCATAGGAGTAGTTAGGTAAAGGTAAAGGTTTCCCCTGACATTAAGTCTAGTCGTGTCCGACTTTGTGGGGTGGTGCTGATTTCCATTTCTAAGCTGAAGAGCCAGCATTGTCCCTAGACACCTCCAAGGACATGTGGCCAGCATGGCTGTATAGAGCACCATTCCCTTCCCGCAGAAGCGGTACCTATTGATCTACTCACATTTGCATGTTTTCGAACTGCTAGGTTGGCAGAAGCTGGGGCTAACAGCAGGAGCTCACCCACACCCCAGATTCGAACCGCCAACCTTTCAATCAGGAAGTTCAGCAGCTCAACAGGTTAACCTCAGGCTGTTTAGACCTTGGTATGTCAAAACCTGCCTTTGCACAAAATTTGGAAATTAGTAGTGAGAATATGACTATTTTTATTCCTGCAGAGGCATATGTTAGGACATTGATCATTCCTTATTGTTCATCGGCACTTCAGTTGGGTTGAGTCATCCAGGATTTAGGAGTCTGTGTCCAGACTGAAACTTTCAGGGAAGCCAAGGGATTGCCTCCAGGAAAAGAATCCCTTTGTTTCCTCTTTCTCCAGAAATGTGTAGAAACTGAACATGTGACATGTCGTCATGATGGTCAGAGTTTCCCCACTTACATATGTTTACAGCCAAAGAGGTAAAATGGGAAACTCTGGTGCTGAAAGAAAGATATGCTACACATTTTGCTTTCCTAGTCCTCACTTGGGGAGAGAGAGGAAGTAAAGTCAAAGTAAAGGTTTCCCCTGACATTAAGTCTAGTTGTGTCCGACTTTGGGATGTGGTGCTCATCTCCATTTCTAAGCCGAAGAGCCGGCATTGTCCGTAGACACCTCCAAGGTCATGTGGCTAGCAAGACTTCATGGAGCACCGTTACCTTCCCTTCGGAGCGGTACCTATTGATCTGCTCACATTTCCATGTTTTCGAACTGCTAGGTTGGCAGAAGCTGGGGCTTACAATGGAAGCTCACGCCGTTCCCTGGATTTGAACCTGCGACCTTTCGGTCAACAATCTCAGCAGCTCAGTAGTTTAACCCACTGTGCCACTGGGGGTACCAGGGGAGAGGAAAAGCCATGGTTTGCTGCTTTGGATTTTGGTTATCATTCCTGTTTGTGAGAAGTGCTGTATTTCTCACAACAGCCCATCATAGGAATATTTAAAGTTAAAGTGAAAGTTGAAAGTGCAATGACGCAGGACTGTTTACGGACAACGGCTATGTCTTCGTGTGATATGCAATGTTATTTTATGTGATGTGTTTAATAATGTTGAATGTTTTATCAGGGGAGGGTCAATTTTGATGTTTTATACTGTTTTTATTGATGGCACTGAATTGTTTCCCACACTGTGAACTGCCCTGAGTCCCCTTTGGGGTTGAGAAGGGCGGTACACAAACACCGCAAATAAATAAATAAATAAATAAATAAATAATTCATGGACATACTTTCCCACCTGGATGTAGGTGAACTACAACTCCAAAACTCAAGGTCAATGCCCATCAAACTCTCCAGTATTTTCTGTTGGTCATGAGAGTTCTGTGCGCCAAGTTTGGTTCAATTCCATCATTGGTGGAGTTCAGAATGCTCTTTGATTGTAGGTGAACTATAAATCCCAGCAACTACAACTCCCAAATGACAAAATCAACCCCCACCCTAACCCCGCCAGTATCAAATTTGGGCGTATCGGGTATTTGTGCCAAATTTGGTCCAGTGAATGTAAATACAGCTTGCATATCAGATATTTACATTACAATTAATAACAGTAGCAAAATTACAGTTACGAAGTAACAACGAAAATAATTTTATGATTAGCGGTCACCACAACATGGGGAACTGGATTAAAGGGCTGCAGCATTAGGAAGCTTGAGAAACACTGGCATAGACCCTCTCTGTAATATCTCAAGCAAGAAAGATGCAGACCTGTGACTCCAGTAATGGAACTTTTCTTTACGTACGTTGTACCATGTGTTTTGATGTATGTATTTTATAATGGTGTGTTTTGACATATATATTTTTGAGTATGTATTTTATGTTGATATGTTTTGATTGTTGCATCCTGCCTCAACCCATAAAGAGAGGTGGGTTATTATTACTATTTACTTTATTTATACCCCATCTTTCTCTCCATGGGGACTCAAGGTGGCTAACTATTAAGATGATAATGATAATCACATGGTTTCTTATCCTCTGGTAAAGAAGTCAGTGGGTTTCCAAAGCTAGCAAAACAAATTTGGTATCAAAATTGGGAGACCTTTTTGAGAGGATTTGGGAAGAGTACAGAGAAGAGGAGCATTCCTGTTCTAAGAGCAATGGTTTGATTGAATAAGATCTGTGATTATCTATGGATGTCACCATGAGATCTCCCTGGCAGCTGATCCCTAAATTGACTCAACAGGGATCTTGTGGCAGAAGAGCTGCAAGTCTGAAAGACTGACTTATATCACTGTTTCTGTGGAAAGTGACAATCTTCTTACCTTGGCTGTTTTGGTTACAGGCCCGGAGCACGGACAACATTGATACGACAGGCGAGGGTCAAGTGCGCTCTTTGGGGAATGCAACCAGTAACGTCAAGGGGAAACCAACGAAGAGGTAAAACGGGAGAAGGGGTGGGCAAGCCCTAAAGCTGTGCGACATGAAGTTTCCACCCTGAGGACTCACATTTGACATAGCTGTGGGATTCTGGGAGCCCAGAAAAAAAAATCCGCATTTGAATAGAATTGCAAAAATTTGAAGCATTATTCTAGGTGTGGGAGCTCCTGGTGGTGCAGCGGGTTAAACTGCTGAGCTGCTAAACTTGCTGATTGAAAGGTCAATGGTTCAAATCCGGGGAGTGGGGTGAGCGCCCGCTGTTAGCCCCAGCTTTTACCAACCTAGCAGTTCGAAAACATGCAACTGTGAGTAGATCAATAGGTACCGCTCTGGCGGGAAGGTAACAGCACTCCATGCAGTCATGCTGGCCACATAGCCTTGGAGGCATCTATGCACAATGCCAGCTCTTCGGCTTAGAAATGGAGATGAGCACCACCACCACCCCAGAGTCGGATATGACTAGACTTAATGTCAAGGGGAAACTTTTACTTATTGTAGGTGTGACACTAGCATGCACACATACTTATTTTTTGTTAGAAAATACTTTACTAGCTCATATTCTGCCTATCTGGTGCTTCTTAAATAAAGAAGGACTGGTTGGATTGATTTTGCCCAGCTGGGAGTTCTAATGCCATGAAGAGAGACTGTGCTTATGGTATTGCTGCTGGACTAAAATGATGTGAAAGGGAATATGGTTGTGAGTTCTTGTTAGCTTTTGTTCATTCTCTTCTAGACCAGAGCTTCTGAAACTTTTTCAACACATTGATAATTTTTTTTCCAACAAATGTTTATGTGTCTTCAAGTATATTAAGGAGGGGAGGAGAGATAGAGAGAAAGGAAGGCAGAGATGTCATGAATACCTTTAAAACAAAGGTTCTTTTTATTGCAATTTTCAGTGTGAGAGAGTATATCAAAACTTTTACAGAACTTTTACACAAAGAATCACATTAGGCATTCAGATATATGGATTCTATGTAACTACATTGGATTCACAAACAACTTACAGTTACATTGGCTTACAAACAAAGAAAGGGGTTAGGTTTTTGTGGGTTTTTTCGGGCTATATGGCTATGTTCTAGAGGCATTTTTCCTAACGTTTCGCCTGCATCTATGGCAAGCATCCTCAGAGGTAGTGAGGTCTGTTGGAAGTAGGAAAATGGGTTTATATATCTGTGGAATGACTGGGGTGTGGCAAAGAGCTCTCTGCTGCAGCTAGGTGTGAAAGAAAGGGGCTACGTTTTCACTTAAAATTCACTTACACATAAACATTCATCCATCACCATGCATATAAATATTATCATATTCTTTCTCCCTCCTTGGAGAAGAACCGCTGTTAGACAAGACCCTCCTTCCCTGCAGCCTAATGCATAATTCCAAAACTTCTAAAATGCCAATGATCAGATCCCTGTTTTCCATACAGCATAACCTGACTCCCTGTAAATGTATCATGACCCCAAAATGCACTTCTTCCTCTTCCCTTGAGAAAGAAGCCCAAAGTGTACAGAATCCTGTTTACCCATAGCAGATCTGACACTCTCCATGGTACACTATCTCTCTCCTTCCCATGGAGCAGACCATGGTAAGCCAGACTCCTCCAGTCTGTCACACTTGAAAATTATTAGATTGAGTTTTTTGTAGGAATATTCTGCTGATGTAGTAAATAATTGTTCTGTTTGAAATAATCTTAAGTCTTCACCTCCTGACAGATGTTGATCTTCAGGTAATGAACCACTGTGTTTTGGATTTGATTTGAAAGAGCATTGTCTTTGACTAAGGTAAACAGATATTGTTTCCTTCGGAATTAATCCAGTTTCTCGTCAGCAAATGTTGACAAATGTAAACATTTATTGTATTACTGTCACAGTTCTTATCACAGTTTACTATGGCAGGTCAACCATTTCAGTTCTCATTAGCAACTTTTAATTACAGTCTAGCAAGCAGGCAGTTGTTTTCCAGGCCTTAATATTCAGAATTATCAACTCTCATTCATTTACCTTTCATTCAATTCCATTCATACGTGTCTTTGACTAATGTAAACAGAGATAATTTCCTTTGGAGTTAATCCAGTTTCTGGTCAGCAAATGTTGACAGATGTAAAAATATGGAAACATTTATCTTATTGCTGTCACATTTTTATCACAGTTTACTGTGGCAGGTCATCAATTTCTGTTCTCATTAGAAACTTTTAATTACAGTCTAGCAAGCAGGCAGTTGTTTTCCAGGCCTTAATATTCAGAATTATTAACTCTCATTCATTTACGTTTCATTCAATTCCATTTATACTCACACATATTAAATCCACATTTATCAAATCTGCACATTATTTTTCTTGGGACAGAGAGACACCTGCACACGCAAGAGAGAAGGGAAAGCAGGGAACAATACAAGAGAGAGAGAAAGAAAGAAGGGAAGCAGAGAGAGGGGGTGGTGTTTGAGAGAAAGAGAGAGAAAAGGGAAAGCAAGGAGATGCAAGCACAAGAGAGAAAGGAAGGCGACCTCAACATACAGTTATGGCGATCCAATTTGAGGTCAAAGCTGTGTCCTAGACAACCTAGTCAAATGGAGTAAGAGAAAGCACTGTGCAGAAGCAGCAACAAACATAGGCAAAAAGCAGGATGAGGGTGAAGTATTCCCTTGTTAAAACTGGTATGAAAGTGCAACACTTGAGTAAAGTGAGGGATGTGCAACAAAGAAGGCTTCTGAGAGCTTACAAGCAATGTATTCCCAGGCTTGAGCCTCCAGATGTTGTTGGACTAAAGTTCCAGAACTTCTGACCACCGTTCGATGGTGGCTGGGCTAGTGGATGTCATTTGAGCCGAACACCATTTGAGGAATTATTCTGGGAACCACAAGCCTACTGGATTAAAATGGAACAAGGAGCTTTTAGAACAGAATGGTACCGCTGGTTGCCTTGAGTGCTGTGGAGAATGAGAGGTTGTTTTCCAGAATTTTGCTTACAAGCTAATATTTGTTTTCCAAGTATTAGGTTTCCAGACTTAGAACTGATATGCATGACAACATTTCCCTTCTTTTGCCCTACAGGCTTTCCATTACACGGGGCCACTTCCCCAAGCTGACCGAGTGTGCCCATTTCCACTATGAGGCTGTGGACTTTGGACATATCCAGGTGTGTTTCTCCTATTGATGTTTTGAAGCATATTGAAATGTAGGAGCTGTTTGCTGTGGATGCCTTGATTCTTGTGACCAGTATTTGTGTGGCACTTATTTCATGTCTCTCTGTGTGCTTGTATATTAGAGAGTACAGGCTCTTGACAGCTGCAGAAGGAATTAAAATCTCCTTTCTCCCTGCAGTTGCAGCTTGCTCCTGAGCAGAATGAGAACCTCAGCAATTTAGAGGAGGGAGACCAGCTGTTTCCTGTTCAAGTCACTTGTCAGGTAAGCAAGATTGGGAGAGAGAAAAGTTGGCTGACAAAACCTGCTGCATTTGTTCGTTTAAGTTGGATTGGCACCTTATCTTGAAAAGATATATCAACTAGCAAGCTGTAGCTGCTAATCAAAACACTGTGCAGTATTAAAATTAAATTGCTTGGGATCCCTATAGATGTTGGGCCTGGGCAAAACCTATAGGTGCAATCTTTACAGACACATTTGGGGTGCTTCCAGACATCACCAAATCATGGTTTTTAGTCAGAAGCAAAAAATCCTGGGACCTGAGAAGAGGTCCACATACAAACCTGTTGGTCCTGGGATTTCTGCCTCCATCTTCCACACTTTCTCTTTGTCCTGGGATTCTAGGATTCTATCTGTGAGAGCTGTTCAGCAGTGGAACACTCTGCCCCGGAGTGTGATGGAGGCTCCTTCTTTGGAGGCTTTTAAACAGAGGCTGGATGGCCATCTGTCGGGGGTGCTTTGAATGTGATTTTCCTGCTTCTTGGCAGGAGGTTGGACTGGATGGCCCATGAGGTCTCTTCCAGTTCTATGATTCTATGATTTTGCAACCCTCAAGATGGCCACCACAGGAATCTGCCGGAAATTCTGTCATACAGCCCAAAAAACTCACAGGAACCCAGTGATTCCGGTCATGAAAGCCTTTGACAACATATCTATCTATCTATCTATCTATCTATCTATCTATCTATCTATCTATCTATCTATCTATCTATCTATCTATCTATCTATCGTGTCAGGGGCAATCAGACCATTGTATTACATTTCTAACAGAACAAAGCAAACAAACAGATTAAAAAAACCCAAAAAACACAAAGTTTGCAAACTTGGTAGTTGATTAAATGTCCTTTGACTAGTATCTGGCGACTTGGAGTGCCTCTGGTGTTGCCGCAAGGAGGTCTTCCATCGTGCATGTAGAAGGGCTCAAGTTGCATTGCAGCAGGTGGTCAGTGGTTTGCTCTTCTCCACACTCGCATGTTGTGGATTCCACTTTGTAGCCCCATTTCTGAAGATTGGCTCTGCATCTCGTGGTGCCAGAGCGCAGTCTGTTCAGCGCCTTTCAAGTCACCCAGTCTTCCGTGTGCCCAGGGGGGAGTCTCTCATTTGGTATCAGCCATAGGATGAGGTTCTGGGTTTGAGCCTGCCACTTTTAGACTCTCACTTGCTGAGGTGTTCCAGCGAGTGTCTCCGTAGATCTTAGATTTAAGTTGTTGACGTGCTGGCTGATACCCAAACAAGGGATGAACTGGAGATGTCACTGCCTTGGTCCTTTCACTATTGGTTGCCACTTCCCGGCAGATGTCAGGTGGTGCAATACCAGCTAAACAGTGTAATTTCTCCAGTGGTGTAGGGCGCAGACACCCCGTGATAGTGCAGCATGTCTCATTAAGAGCCACATCCACTGTTTTAGTGTGGTGAGATGTGTTCCACACTGGGCATGCATACTCAGCAGCAGAGTAGCATAGCGCAAGGGCAGATGTCTTCACTGTGTCTTGACAACACATTGAGCCATAATAATGAAATCACAATGGTATGATTGTCTAATATGGATGCATCCAGTGTTTCTCTCTTTTCCCATAGGACAAGAACTGGCAGGTGCATCGTAGCTATGAGGAATTTAACAATCTGGATGCTCACCTGCATTGCTGCATCTTTGATAGGCGCTTTTCTCAGCTTCCTGAATTGCCATCCATCAGCCATGTGCGGGCTCACCCTGAGGTAACTATGTGAGGCTGTTTTGAGGCGTGTGTTTATGTAGAGCAAATTATCTTGCAAGAAGGTACACTTCCAGTCCCTTTCAATCTTTTTTCAATGGTCCTGTTAACTGGGAACAGACCTGGATATTATATCTATAGAATGGGGAGTGTAACATTCATCATGTAGAACAGTGGTTCTCAACCTTCCTAATGCCGCAACCCCTTAATACAGTTCCTCATGTTGTGGTGACCCCCAACATAACATTATTTTTGTTGCTACTTCATAACTATAGTTTTGCAACTGTTTCTGAATCATAATGTAAATATCTGATATGCAAGATGTATTTTCATTCACTGGACCAAATTTGGCACAAACACCTGATATGCCCAAATTTGAATACTGGTGGAGTTGGGGGGGACTGATTTTGTCATTTGGGAGTTGAAGTTGTTGGGATTGATAGTTCACCTACAATCAGAGAGCATTCTGAACTCCACAAATGATGGAATTGAACCAAACTTGGCACACAGAACTCCCATGACCAACAGCAAATACTGGAAGGGTTTGGTGAGCATTGACCTTGGATTTGGGAGTTGTAGTTCACCTACATCCAGACAGCACTGTGGACTCAAACAATGATGGATCTGGACCAACTTGGCATGAATACTCAAGATGCCCAAATGTGAGCACTGGTGGAGTTTACGGAAAATAGATCTTGACATTTGGGAGTTGTAGTTAGTGGGAGTTATAGTTTACCTACAATCAAAGAGCATTCTGAACTTCACCAATGATGGAATTGAATCAAACTTGGCACACAGAACTCCGATGACCAACAGCAAATACTGGAAGGGTTTGGTGGGCATTGATCTTGGATTTGGGAGTTTTAGTTCACCTACATCCAGAGAGCACCATGGACTCAAACAATGATGGATCTGGACCAAATTGGCATGAATACTCAAGATACCCAAATGTGAATACTGGTGGAGTTTGGGGAAAATAGATCTTGACATTTGGAAGTTGTAGTTAGTGGGATTTATAGTTTACAGACCTAGATATTATATCTATAATCAAAGAGCATTCTGAACTCCATCAAGGATGGAATTGAACCAAACTTGGCACACAGAACTCCCATGACTAACAGCAAATACTGGAATGGTTTGGTGGACATTGACCTTGGCTTTAGGAGTTGTAGTTCACCTACATCCAGAGAGCACTGTGGACTCAAACAATGATGGATCGGGACCAAACTTGGCATGAATATTCAAGATACCCAAATGTGAACACTGGTGGAGTTTGGGGAAAATAGACCTTGACATTTGGGAGTTGTAGTTGGTGGGATTTATAGTTCACATACAATCAAAGAGCATTCTGAACCCCACCAAGGATAGAATTGGGCCAAACTTCCCATACAGAACCCCCATGGCCAACAAAAAATACTGTCTTTTCTGATGGTCCTTGTGACCCCTCTAACACTCCCTCATACCCCCTCCAAGGGTCCCAACCCCCAAGTTGAGAAATGCTAATATAGCAGTAAGTTTTTGCCTACTGCGATGATTGAAGGATATATGCTGTTTCTCTCTAGATGCTGGTGCCCATGCTCTCACAATATCTGGAAAAGCTTTCGGACCTTGTGGACAGCAACATCAACTGTGGTCCAGTGCTCACTTGGATGGAGGTGAGAACCCGGAGAGATGAGGCAACCACATCTCCTTTCTACAGCAGAGGATCCTAAGAAACACCCATACAGTATTAGAGGGCTTTATCCAATTCATATGGCGCTTTTCCTCATTCTCTTTTAGATTGATAACCATGGCAATCGACTGCTGGTGAATGAAGAAGCTTCCATCAATGTTCCTGCCATTGCAGCTGCTCATGTGGTTAAACGCTACACAGCACAAGCATCTGATGAGCTGTCCTTCGAAGTGAGTAATACCCAGGCGGGCAACTGAACCGTGTACTTGTCAAACTGACCCGCCAAATCTACATTTCCATAGTGACAAAGCTGCCCTGTCATCTCTTTTCTGCCTAAAGTTGTGTCTGCAGCTCAATGTGTTGTGTCTATCATTTGTTTGGCCTATGAACTAGCTGGCAAGCAACCTCCTTGGAACATCGGAACAGCTTTTTGAGGTGTCCTCTCCATGATGTGTGTAAAGCAGCCCAGGTCTCTGATTTATATTTCCCATTAAATACAGGATTCAAGGCCTCAGAGGGACACTGTGTTTGGGAGGGCTCAGCTGTTTACATGTGTAGCATGACACCCGTACATGATGGTTAGTAGCTCGCTATTCTCCCATTTGTGTGATATACAGAGACTACGAAGAAGTAGGACAGGTTGGGTTGTTGTAGGTTTTTTTGGGCTATATGGCCATGTTCTAGAGGCATTCTCTCCTGACGTTTCGCCTGCATCTATGGCAAGCATCCTCAGAGGTAGTGAGATCTGTTGGAACTAGGAAAGTGGGTTTATATATCTGTGGAATGACCAGGGTGGGACAAAGAACTCTTGTCTGTTGGAGCTAGGTGTGAATGTTTCAACTGACCACCTTGATTAGCATTTGATGGCCTGGCAGTGCCTGGGGCAATCTTTTGTTGAGATTAGATGTCCTTGTTTGTTTTCTCTTTGTTGTTTTACGGTTGTACTTTTAGAGTTTTTTTTTAATACTGGTAGCCAGATTTTGTTCATTTTCATGGTTTCCTCCTTTCTGTTGAAATTGTCCAGATGCTTGTGGATTTCAATGGCTTCTCTGTGTAGTCTGGCATGGTGGTTGTTGGAGTGGGCCAGCATTTTTTTCCTCAGATAATATGTTGTGTCCTGGTTGGTTCATCAGGTGCTCTGCTATGGCTGACTTCTCTGGTTGAAGCAGTCTGCAGTGCCATTCATGTTCCTTGATTCATATTTGGGCAATGCTGCATTTGGTGGTCCCTATCTAGACTTGTCCACAGCTGCATGGTATACGGTAGACTCCTGCAGATGCTTGCCATAGATGCAGGCAAAACACCAGGAGAGAATGCCTCTAGAACAGTGGTTCTCAACCTGGGGTCCCCAGATGTTTTTGGCCTTCAATTCCCAGAAATCCTAACAGCTGGTAAACTGGCTGGGATTTCTGGGAGTTGTAAGCCAAAAACATCTGGGGACCCAAGGTTGAGAACCACTGCTCTAGAACATGGCTATATAGCCCAAAAAAACCCTACAACAACCCAGTGATTCTGGCCATGAAAGCCTTCGACAGAAGGATAAGTTGCTTACCTGTAACTAGTTCTTTGAATGTGGGTTGCTATGAGTTTTCCAGGCTGTATGTCCATGCTCCAGAAGCATTCTCTCCTGACATTTTGCCCACATCTATGGCAGGCATCCTCAGAGGTTGTGAGGTATATTGGAAACTAAACAAGAGAGGTTTATTCATCTGTTGAACATCCAGAGTGTGAAAAAAAACTCTTGTCTGTTGGAGGCAAGTGTGACTGTTGCAATTAATCACCTTGATTACCATTGCAAAGCTTTGCAGCTTCAAGGCCTGGCTGCTTCTTGCCTGGGGGAATCCTTTTTTGAGAAGAGTTAGCTGGCCCTGATTGTTTCATGTCTTCCCCTGTTTTCAGAGTGTTGTGCTTGTTCATATGTTTTAACTATTTTTATAATTTGATGGGACGTGTTTTATTGTTATGTCTATGCGGCATTGAATTTTGCAGGTGTTTGTAAGCTGCCTTGAGTCCCCTGCGGGGTGAGAAAGGCGGGGTAGAAATGAAGTAAATACATAAATATTTTCTTTTGCTCAAGCAAAGATGAAAGAACTGGAATAGCATGGTGGTTTAGAAAGTGACTTTAAAATAGTTATTTATTATTTACTAGCAGTTCCTGCCATGCATTGCTGAGGCCCAGTCTGGTGATCTGGAAAATAGTAATGAGAAAGTGTTGGTTTCTAATGTAATTTCTTTATGCTTGTGAGTAAACTGTATTTCTTGTTGTTTTGTCGGTGTTGATGTGGAGTGTGTCTGGTTTGCCTACTCTGGAACATGCAACATGTGATTGTCCTTCTTTAGGGGTCCCTTTCAAATCTATGATACAATATCTGTGTGTGTGTGAACCATATATATATATATATATATATATATATATATATCTATATCTATATCTATATCTATATCTATATCTATATCTATATCTATATCTATATCTATATCTATATCTATGGCTGGGTGGCTCTTTGTAAGGAGGGCTTTGATTAAATTTAACTAATTTACGTGGCCATAAAAATCTCCAGCAAGCATTCAAAGAACGAGGAAGTACTTCATCAGCGTCACAAATGGTCGGTGAAGGGACAGCTCCCCTGGTGGCCAGAATACTCTCAAGAAAAGCTGGAATGTTAAATTGCCTCTGTGTCTGTCTATATATGTTGTTTGTCTATGGCATTGAATGTTGGCCATGTATATGTACATTGTAATCCGCCCTGAGCCCCCTGCGGGGTGAGAAGGGCGGAATATAAATACTGTAAATACATACACACATACAATAGATATGCAGTAGCACACTAAATCGACAAATACTTCATGGAAAGTCAAATAACAAATACTAATACCAAAAACTTTATTTCCCCAAGGACAAAATAGACCACACTTGCTATCTATAATGTGTATATTTTACTTAAATGGTATCAGTGTACGATTGCATCGGCTCATGCTAGAACACCACAAAAACAGAACGAATGTTACCAAAGAGTTGTATATATACATACTTAGTTTCTTTGTGCAAGACAGACTCTTCCCATGTATCTGGTTGAGATTTCAATCCCCACAATCGATCTGCCTTGAGCCGCCTTCGGGTTGAGAAAGGCGGGATAGAAATACCATAAATAAATAAATAAATAAATAAATAAATAAATAAATAAAGCATAGTACAAGCTGGCAGTTGAATCAGTCTTCTTTCACAGTTTACTGAAGCATACCCCATAATTATAGAAGTAGCTCAAAATTAGGGATGGATGAGGTTATCCATGATAATTTATTCATTTATTTACCATATTTATATTCTGCCTTTCTCAGCCTGAAGGCGACTCAAGGTGGTTTACAGTCGGCACAATTCGATGCCCCCAACCACATACAATACAATTAAAAAGCATTTAGCATATAATATTAAAAACCATACAAAACCAATAAAAGCATAAATCCTCAGTGTCTCCTTACTGAAATCATTTACCAGTCGCATCGTCCAATCGTTCTGTAGATCTAGATTTGCCTGTTACACGGCATTTGCAAATGCTTGCTCAAAAAGCCAGGTTTTTACTTTTTTGCGAAATGTTAGGAGGGAGTGGGCCGATCTAATATCCCTAGGAAAGGCGTTCCATAGCCAAAGGGCCACCACTGAGAAGGCCCTGTCTCTCATTCCCACCAAATGTATCTGTGAAGAAGGCAGGACCGAGAGCAGGGCCTCCCCAGACAATCTTAGAGTCCTAGATGGTTCATAAGGAGTCCTAGATGGTTCATAATTTACAATAATTGGGCCTGTAGCTGGTGAGATGCCCTCTCTCTATGTTCCAGCTACCACTGCTCTGGCCTCAGAAGGAGAGAAGAGCAGCCAACAATTGAGGAGACCTAAGGCTCTCCCAACCACGCCTCTCTTTTTCTAGTGTGTCCTGTCCTATTTAGATTGTAACCAAGTGGACAGGGAGCTGTCAAATGACTGATTTGTAAGGTGCCTTGCCTGGAGGGCAGACATAGATACTATATTTTCTTGAGTCTGATGCATCATTGAATCTAATACGCACCTCAGTTTTTAGAACCCTGAAACAAAAAAAAGAAAAAAAAAGGATTTACTGCCGAATGTAATGCGGAGCCACAAAAAGTGCATCTCTGTGATTTGGCCGTTACAGTTGCTAGATGCTTAGAATTCCTTATTTAAAAATAAAAGTGTTAGAACACTAAAATGTTAGCAATGGAAAAGAAAACCTTGGATGCATCTGCGTTAATTGTCTTGGTTCAATGTTATAGAGTCACTGGAGCTGTAGTTGTACAAGGTACTGAGCCTTCCCTGCCAAAGAATATATATGTGCATATATGTGCACTCCCGGCCTTTGAGCTTTAATGCATACCCTGTGTTCCTTATTTTTGTGCACTGACACATTTTTCTGCTCTCTTTGGCACAGGTTGGAGACATCATCTCTGTGATTGATATGCCTCCCAAGGAGGACAGGAGTTGGTGGCGCGGGAAACATGGATTTCAGGTTGGACATCAAGGGCAAAGAGACATTGCAGCCAAGAAGTCTGGATGCATAGTTCAATCCAAAAGATTCAAAACAGGAGTTAGTGTAATAGAATAATAGAGTTGGAAGAGACCACTTGGGCCATCTAGTCCAACCCCCTGCCATGCAGGAAAAGGACAATCAAAGCACTCCCAATAGATGGAGTTCTTGGAAAATATGGGAGAGTTGGTCCCATAACGTAGTTGAGAGAGTTGGTCCCATAATGTAGTTGTGAGTGTAGGTGTGCATGTAGCATATTGCCTGCTCCTGACATAAATAAATAAAAGGGGTCCCCGACAGCTATACAGTGTTCCCTCACTTATCGCGGGGGTTCTGTTCCAGGACCTCCCGCGATAAGTGAAAATCCACGAAGTAGGGACACCATATTAATTTTAATATTTATGCATTATTTTATACATTATTTTCTTACCTGTGCTTCCTTACCCACCTCCCAGCCCATCCCAAGGGTGCCTACCTACCTCTCTGGCCTCCGCAGAGCCTCCGGAGCCACGCAGGCTGCAGCAGGTCAGGGAGGCAGGCCTTCCCTGCTGCGCCTCTGGTTGCCACACTTCCAGGGTCTGTGGAGGCCAGGCGTCAGGCCTTCGCCACCGTGTCTCAGGCCGCTGCACTTCCGGGATCTCTGGCCTCCACTGGACATTAATATTTCATATTTCGTATTTTTATTAATATTTTCAAAAACCTGCAATACAGCAAGTCTATTAAAAGCGAACCGCGAAGTAGCGAGGGAACACTGTAAGTGCTTATATCAGTGGTTCTCAACCTGGGGTCCCCAGATGTTTTTGGCCTTCAACTCCCAGAAATCCTAACTGCTGGTAAACTGGCTGGGATTTCTTGGAGTTGAAGGCTAAAACATCTGGGGAGCCACAGGTTGAGAACACTGTCTTAGAAGCTAGTGTAGTAAACACATATTCAGTTTTCATTGTGTTTATAGTTTTGAGTCTTCATAATTGGTAAATGCATAACTGGTATAGGCACAAATTTGCAAAGGTGATGATGCCTATTTTCAAGTGTTTTGGTTAATCCTCTGTCATCTCGGGTTTCCAAGTGCTTTCAAAAAGTCCAATTTATTTTTCTTCCCCTCATTTTCCAATTTCATTGCCTGTTCACTTCAGTTGCTCAGGCGAAACCGATGTGGTGCAGCTTCTCCTTGCTTATTGTTCTCTTTTTCCATCTTGACTACACACTGATGTTGCTTGGCCACATGTGAACCATTGGAGGGAATGGAGGACAGCTGGATTCCCTGCATCAGAAATGCTGCCCTCCCCTCATTTTGTAAGAACTTGAAAACCTGGTGATTTCAACAAGCCTTTGAAAATGACCAGTTTTAACTCAGTTTTACACATTGTAGAATACGGCCTTATTCTTCCTACCAATTACCCAGATCACTTCCTCTAATCGGCCCCGGAATGAACAGCCACAGACCTGTACCTAATATTATTGTTGCCTGCCATAGCATTGCACTTAATTCCCGGGCCCCCTAGAATTTTTGGGCTTGCACAAATCTTGGCCCGGCCTTTTATATTTTTAAATTGCCTTGAACAGGCAGGATTACTTTTAATATATATGTGTTATGGCGACAATTTTTATGCTTATATTGCTTTGTTAATCTTATGGTTATGTTGTTGTACTTTGTATGTTTTGTGATGTTACCTGGGAACCGCTCTGAGTCCCCTCGGGGAGATAGAGCGGTATATAAATAAAGATTATTATTATTATTATTATTATTATTATTATTATTATTATTTTCCTTGGAGTTGACATGAACCAGAGTACTGTTTTTAACACTCTCAGTCACTGTTTTGCAGTAAAGCATATTCAGCGTAGGAGTTGAGTGGGACTTCATTTCTTCTGAATGTTAACATGCTTCTCTCTTTTCCAGGTGGGTTTCTTTCCCAGTGAATGTGTGGAGCTGTTCTCTGAGCGTCCCAGCCCAGGACTCAAAACAGGTAAGACTTGCTTATGTACGATTCAGGAAAGATATTGACAAGCTAGTAAGTGTCCAGAGGAGGGCAACCAAAAAGATAAAATGTCTAGAAGTCAAGCCCTATGAGAAGCAGCTTAGGGAGCTGGTATGTTTAGTTTAGAGGAAGATTAAGAGAGGACATGGTAGATATGTTTAAATATTTGAAAGGAGCGGAGTGAGCTCCTGCTGTTAGGCCCAGCTTCTGCCAACCTAGCAGTTCGAAAACATGCAAACGTGAATAGATCAATAGGTACCGCTCTGGCGGGAAGGTAACGCCGCTTCGTGCAGACATGCTAGCCACATGACCTTGGAGGCATCCATGGACAATGTTGGCTCTTTGGCTTAGAAATAGAGATGAGCACCACCACCCAGAGTCAGAAACAACTAAACTTAATATCAGGGGAAACCTTTACCTTTACTATGGTATAATGCTGCAAACCCCAAACTCTTATCACTTCACCATATAATTTGCCATCAAAATGTCAGAGTGAGACACCTGGGTCATGCACAGAGTACTTAAGGTTTCCAGATCAATTATCACACTGCAAACTTCTTGGATTTCAAAACAATAAACTTTACTGAAAGCATCTTCTTTATGTGACTACATGATGGAGAGGAAAGATGGCGACTGACAAAGCAATAGCATGAAACACACAGACAAAGAAAATCCTGCCCTCCAGTCTTATCTATCTCCTAGCCGGTTAACTCCCTTTTCTTCTCAGGAAAAGTCTTATCTAACTTTAGCCAAGGTCTTAACTCTCTGGCCCATAACAATAATAATCTACTACACGAATGAACAAAAATGAACATGACTGAAACCATCTTGAATTACATTATTAACACATTGAAAAACATACATATAAAATAATTGCAATTATCCTGACACAAAAGAAACCCCATAAAAACCTCCAGGAACCACATAAAAGAATGTATTATGGGATCATGACTTGATTCAGTATCTTTTAGAAGAGCTGGGAAGGATTTTATGTTATACTTTTTCTTATTTCATCCTGTGTCTGTCTCTGGGTAGATGCAGAAGGGATGAGTGGCGGTATTCCCTGCCCACCTGGTCTCCTCTCCCCATCTTCAGGTGAGATATGACTGCTTCTGATTTTGTTGGCTAAAGAGTCGACTGCTGTGTTCTGCAGTTTGGTGTCTCTTCTGTGTAAGAATGGGAGATAATTTGTTTTGGTCTGCATTTCAGAGTGAACTGACCTAATCTATGCATCATAGGCATCAGAATGCAGCCCCGCTTTTAACTAAATATTTTTGGAATGTTGTGATGCAGACCCTAGTCTATAAGTTATGTATCAATATATTGTGGGACATAACTTTCAAAATACATATACAGGCAGTCCCCAAGTTACAAACAAGGTAGATTCTGAAGATTAGTTCTTAAACTTAATTTGTTTGTAAGTCGGAACAGGAACATTTAAAAAATTCATCTCCAACCAAATATCTATCATCTGTCTATCTTAGGCATGAGTGATCCAAAAAAAGGTTCTAAACTGGGTTCAAAAGTAAGGTGATTCAATTCTAAAGTTACATCCGATTTTTTTTGAAAAAAATTCAAAACTTTCCAAAACCTCTTAAACTTTGGAAGTGATTCATTAATGTTGGACACTTCGCCTGCATCTATGGCAGGCATCCTCAGAGGTTGTGAGAGGTCCTCACAACCTCTGAGAATGCCTGTCATAGATGCAGGTGAAACGTCAGGAGAGAATGCTTTTAGAAGATAGCCATACAGCCCAAAAAACCTACAACAGCCCAGTGATTCTAGCCATGAAAGCCTTTGACAATACAATTTTACTCAAGTCCAGCTCAGATACCTGCCTGTGCTTTTGTTCCAGTGTCCAAGAAACATGGCAAGCTCATCGGCTTCCTCCGTACTTTTATGAAGTCCCGGCCAAGCAAGCAGCGTCTGAAGCAGCGTGGAATCCTCCGGGAGAGGGTCTTTGGCTGTGATTTGGGTGAACATCTGAAGAATGCAGGGAATGATGGTAAGTTGAAACACACTGACTCTCCCTATTATAGTCACCTCTGCTTACTGGGCTTTTCCCCCTTAAATACTGCAGTTCATCCTTTATCCTTGTGTCTAAATAAGTTTCCTCTTTTTCTCTTTCATAATGCCCTGTGGTCATAGGCTGAATGCTTAGGTCATAGCTTTGCAAACTCTGTGTCATGATACGTTAAGTGTGTCAGCTGCAATGTGTAGATGTGTCACTTGAATGTAACAGAAAAGACCAAAGTCTTGGAAATGCATGATATTTTCTTACAAATCACACAGTTAAAATATATTAATGAGATAAAATATATTAATGAGATACTACATATCATGAGATATGTAGTATCCCCATACATTTTGTTGTCACAATTTATGTATGTGTTTGTATCACTTTATGCGGGGTTGGTTCAACTTCTGGGTTGCTAATCAAACTGAATTGCACGGTCGTGAAATGATGCATGTCTAAAAAGTGTGTCACCAACACACTTTAAAGTTAGGTTGTTTAGCCTGCCTTGTAAACATTTCTTCTCATTCAGGATCTGAACATGAATCTCCTTAGTCTTAGCCCAGCTTTCTGGTCTCTTTATTTCTAGTTTAGCTTTGTGTGGCATAATGTAAAATAAAACATGTGTAGTTACGTTTTTCAGCCCACACACTGCCTTGTCAGAGAAAGAAAATATGTCATGCAGGTGAACAGTAAGAACAAGTAGTTTACTCTTCGGAAATCCAGAGCAACATATGAACAGTGTGATCAGTTGCACCAATTCACATAATGTCCTTTTATGACAGATTTAAAATGATCTTTCTCTGTCCATGTGGATAAACTCCTTTAACGGTTCATGAAGTGAGAGTCCACTCCAAACTATCTCTCTCTCTGCTTCTCTCTTCAAACTCTATCTCTCTGCACCTGCATAGCTCGAGCATGAACAAAAATGTAACAGTATCCAAAAGTTTCAGGCTCAGCCTGTTCCCTGGGCATTGCCCAACCAATTACCTTCATGAATCTTATTTTACAGTTGACACATACACACACACACACTGATTCCTTGCATGCTCCAACACTTCCTAACCACTGACCAGACCAGAGGCTGAGAAAATTACTGCTTCAGATGTTAGCTCCTAGAATCCATCTAGCCCAGTGGTTCCCAACCTGTGGTCTGTGGACCACTAGTGGTCCGCAAGAACTAAAATACTGTTGCAAAAAGAGGAACTAGTCTTGCTAAACCCTCTTATAGTGCCGAGGCTTATTAAATATAGTTTTCTGTGGATGAGAAGATGGCAACTACTGGATGGTGTATGTTCTATACCAGAAACTAGAGCTGATGTGGTCTATTAAATGCAATAAGGTTGCCTTTGAAGACTGTCCGGAAGCTTCAAATGGTCCAATGGATGGCAGCCAGATTACCAACAGGAGTGGCGCTCAGGGAGCATACAACTCTTCTGTTGCGCCAGCTCCACTGGCTGTCAGTTTCCTACCGGGCACAATTCAAAGTGCTGGCTTTAGCCTATAAAGCACTAAACAGTTCTGGCACAACTTACCTGTCTGAATGCATCTCCCCTTATTAACCATCTAGGACCTTAAGATCGTTTGGGAAAGCCCTGCTCTCAATCCCGCCGGCGTCACAAATACGTTTGGCGGGGACAAGAAACAGGGCCTTCTCAGTGGTGGCCCCTCGGCTATGGAACATTAGATCGGCCTCTCCCTTTTAACATTTCAGAAAAAAGTCGACTTGGCTTTTTGAGCAAGCATTTGAAAATGCAGTGTAATAGACATAGGGATATGGAACAACTGGGTGATGAGATTGGACAACGTTTTAACTAGGAGACGCAAATGATTTATGTCTTATTGATCTTGTTATGGTTTTATGTTATATGTTAATGTTTTTAAATGTTTTAAATGTTTTTATGGTGTTGTTGGGCATTGAATTGTTGCCTCTGTAAACTGCTTTGAGTCGCCTGCGGGCTGAGAAGGGCGGTATACAAATATAGGAAAATAAATAAATAAATAAATAAAAATTTCTGAATCAGCACCCCAAATAACCAAACTGAATCTAAAGTTGACCGAAAACTGATTTGTCACCCTTTTGGTACTAATGTTGGAGAGTGGTCCCTGGTCAAGTGGTCCCTGGTTAAAAAAAAAAAAGTTTGGAAACTTCTCATTTAGCCTGTAATTACACTGGCCAACACACATTTTGGTGCCTTTAATGTTAGCTCTGTTTCTGAGTATATTTGACCTGCAGATTCCTTAAATAGCACTAGTATTCCCCCATTAGCTCTAGTTTTTGAGATACGGAGCATATACCCATCTACTGATTGCCATCTCCTTGTCCATGGAAACCCATGATAACCATATTTAAGATCCCAGTATAACTGATGTGGTCTATCTAATGCAGTTTTCTGAATCAGCACCCCCAAATAACCCCAGAAACAGACCTAAAAACCAAGATGCCATTTTTTTTGTTTGGACTGCTTTATTAGTAGATCCTGGCAGTTGTAATCTCACAGATTTATTGTCCTCGTTTCTGCTTTAATTGGTATCCGGTAGGAGGCAGAGTGGTCTTAAATAGCTGGAAAATCTGCCGTCAGTGAGTCAAGGTTGTTAGCAGGCAGGCAGCTCAGCCAGAGTTCAGACAGGGCTCGAGGCAACCTCCGAGGAAGGGAACATGTGTTTCATAATGAATGAACAAAAATAAAAAGAGGGGTCCCATTTGTTTCTGCCATTATTCATTACAAAACGCATGAAACTGAACAAATTTAGAATTAACATCTTTGAGCTTATTTCGCTTGGCTTCATTTTCTCCAGAAAGTTATAGTTTTGGGACTATAATTCACAGAATCTCCTAGCCAGACAAGCTTTGGGTTTATGGTAGCAGCAGGCAGAGCATCTTGGAAATACAGGAGTAAAGAAGAACAGGAGAAAGCAAGAAAGTGAGGAAGGAAGGAAGGAAATGGTAGAGATCTGGGTGCATTTCTTATACTCATAACTTTGGCTCCTTCTATTGAATTCATATTCTGGAGCTCCTGGTGGCGCAGTGGGTTAAACTGCTGAGCTACTGAACTTGTAGACTGAAAGGTCATAAGTTCGAATCCAGGGAGTGGGGTGAGCTCCCGCTGTCAGCCCCAGCTTCTACCAATCTAGCAGTTTGAAAACATGCAAATGTAAGTAGATCAATAGGTACCACTCCGGCGGGAAGGTAACAGCGCTCCATGCAGTCATGCTGGCCAGATGACCTTGGAGGCATCTATGGACAATGCTGGCTCTTCGGCTTAGAAATGGCACTAACCCCTAGAGTTGGACACGACTGGACTTAATGTCAAGGGAAAACCCTTACCTTATTGAATTCATATTCTGTTTTCTAATCAGTTGCTTGGAGCCCCCGGTGGCGCAGTGGGTTAAAGCACTGAGCTGCTGAGCTTGTTGATCGAAAGGTCACAGGTTCGATTCCGGGGAGCGGCGTGAGCTTCCGCTGTCAGCCCTAGCTTCTGCCAACCTAGCAGTTCGAAAACATGCAAATGTGAGTAGATCAATAGGTACCGCTCCGGCTGGAAGGTAACGGCGCTCCATGCAGTCATGCCGGCCACATGACCTTGGAGGTGTCTACGGACAACGCTGGCTCTTCGGCTTAGAAATGGAGATGAGCACCACACCCCAGAGTCAGACATGACTGGACTTAATGTCAGGGGACTACCTTTACCTTTAATCAGTTGCTTGTTTAAGGGAGAAGAATCGCCAAATTGAGTTTTTTTTTGTGTGTGTGTGTCAGGAGCGACTTGAGAAACTGTGTTGCTTCTGTTGTGACAGAATTGTCTGTCTGCAAGGACGTTGCTCAGGGGATGCCTGGATGGGCGTCCCCTGGGCAATGTCCTTGCAGTCAGTCTGTTCTCTCACACCATAAATGACTTGCAGTTTCTCAATATGAAACTGATATGGAAAAAAAATCACCTAGCATACTTATCTTGTCTTAGAATATAAATAAATGCTATTTGTTAGTTCCGAACATTTTTCAAATGGAGTCTATTGATATATCCAGATTTTTGAATGGTGTTTTGAAGGATGATGTAAAGGTTGCTTTGTGTTTACATATGAAATAAAAAGAAACCAGACTTCTTTGGAGTTCTCCATGTGCCCGTCTCCTTTCCATATTCTGTTCTTGAGTTATCTGTAATGATAAACAATTCCAGATTCTATAGTATCACTCAAGAAAAGGCCCTCTTTCCATCCAGTAACAACATGTCAAAGTGTTAAAGGAAAGGGCACCAGGGGAAGGTATTGGAGGAAGATTTCAGTTGATGGGACATCATGCAAAGAGCATGAAGGCATTGACAGTATAAGGAGCTGCAGCTGGAGAAGACATTGGCTGCCTATCAGGATCCTACACTTAGGCTCTGCCATGTTTCTATGTTCATTATGATCATATGCTCCTGGATCTGACAGTCAATTGGCCGTTCTCTATAGAACGAGGGAAGGTGCCATCTTCTTATTTGATTCAGGCAGCAAAATGTCTTGGAAAAGTCTTGATAACATTGTTTTATTGTTTCATCAGTACCACAGGTACTACGCACATGCTCTGATTTCATCGAGAAGCATGGCATTGTGGATGGCATCTACCGCTTGTCGGGGGTCTCCTCCAACATCCAACGGCTACGGTAAGGCCTGGTCAAATTAGAACATGTTGCATGATAGGTCAGGGCTGTTGATGTCCTGCACTGGTGACCAGTTTTATCCACAAATCAAGGAGATGAGGGGGATCTAGTTTTTATAGAAGGTGTGGAAAGTGAAAATTCCTATCCCTGCGCTTCTGTTAGTCTGTGTCACAGAGAAACTGAGCAGCAAAACTATAATATAAAACAGCCAGGAAATCTCCCATCCCACAGGAAAAAAGGAATAATTTTATAGTGCTTGAGGTCAGTTTGAAGCCCTGGTTCCCAGTGTGGGGCACACGCCCTACAGAGAGGCAATTTGATTTTTCGCTTGGGGGTGTGGGGTGGGGTGGGAATTTGAGAATGAGTTATTAACAGTGATTTTTTTGCATTGCTTATGGTTCTAGAGCAGGGGTCCTCAAACCTTTTAAACACAGTCCCTCAAACTGTTGGAGGGCCGGATTATTATTTGAAAAAAACATGAATGAATTCCTATGAACACTGCACACATCTTATTTGTAGTACAAAAAACAAAATCAACACAATACTTAAAATGAACAATTTTAAGAAATATAAACATATTAGTATTTCAATGGGAAGTGCTGGCCTGGTTTTGGCTGATAAGATTGTTGTTGTGTGCTTTCAAGTCATTTCAGACTTAGGTTGATCCTGAGCAAGGGCTGGGTAAATGATCTTGGGCTGTATCCGACCCTTGAGCCTTAGTTTGAGGACCCTTGTTTTACAGTATACAGTATATAAATATGATATACAGTATATAAATATATTTTGTGATATCAGTGGTGCAGTGGGTTAAACTGCTGAGCTGCTGACCGAAAGGTTGGTGGTTTGAATTCGGGGAGCAGGGTGAACTCCCGCTTTTAGCCCCAGCTTCTGCCAACCTAGCAATTAGAAAACATGCAAATGTGAGTAGATCAATAGGTACCGCTCCAGCGGGAAGGTAACGGTGCTCCATGCAGTCATGCCAGCCACATGACCTTGGAGGTTTCTCCGAACAACGCCGGCTCTTCGGCTTCGAAATGGGGATGAGCACCACCCCCAGAGTCAGACATGACCGGACTTAATGTCAAGGGGAAACCTTTACCTTTACCTACCCTAAAGTGTAATTACAGTGTCTTGGCACATAAAGTAGTCTCTGGATGCTAATGGAGATGTTTATTCCCCTATATGATTTCCGTCTTTTGCTTTCAGTATGTTTTGGGAAGAAATGTGAGTGGTGGTTGCATTGTGTTCACTTCGGCCTTAATTAGGCCAGCAGTATGATAATCTGGCAGTAGTTCTGGATGCTTATTGCTTTTTCCTGTAATTCTTTCCTCCTGCCATTCCGCTGGTCCTTGTCTCCAGGCACGAGTTTGACTGTGAGAGGGTGCCGGAGCTCTCCAAAGATGTCTACTTGCAGGACATCCACTCCGTCAGTTCGCTCTGCAAGCTGTACTTCCGAGAGTTGCCAAATCCATTGCTCACTTACCAGCTCTACAACAAGTTTGCTGTGAGTCATGCAACGGCCTTGATTGATGTTTTCCCATTATTTAATTGTGAATTCCATTTATATCCTTCCTTTCCTCTAATAAGTTAAAGGTAATGTACATGGCTCACTTATCCCCAGGGGCGGCTTGTCCATTACGCGAAGTAAGCAGTCGCAGAACACTTTTTTTTGCCAGGGGCACAGAGGCGCCTCTGTAAATGCCCCTTGACCACCACTTGAGGAGCACCCCCTCAGCTCACAACAGCTCTAGCACTCCGGGGGGAGCCTCGGCTTTCTTGCCTCGCTGCCGGGCGATCCTCTTCCCAAAGAGGCCGGGCCCTTGACCCTCGCCTTGCCCCTCTTGTTCCTGCTCCACCCGGCCACTGGGTGCGCGAGCAGAGCCGGCGCTTAATCGTTCTCCCCGTTTAATCCCTTCCCCATGACCGGCTCCCTTTCCCGATCACCCGGCGCTCCACCTGCCTCCTCTCTCCCCAATCCGCGGGTGGGCCAAGGGGCGGAGCCGCCGCGCCTGGCCCGCTTCGGGTCCGGAGGCGTGCCTGAAGACCCCAGCGTGTGCACCAAAAGTTGCCTCTTCTCCTGTCTTTCTCTTCAGCCATTGGGACCAAGAGAGAGAGAGAGCCCCTCCGGCTGGAGGTATCTCCCACCTCCGCTCCCTCCTTTGTTTTAGCGCCTACCTTCAGGAAAGGTGGGCATCTCCACCTCTCTCTCTCTCTCTCTCTCTCAGTCCCAATGGCTGAGGAGAAAGTCAGGAGAAGAGATGACTTTTGGTGCACACGCCGGGGTCTTCAAGCATGCCTCCGGACCCAAAGCGGGCCAGGCAAGGGAGCAAGTGCGGCAAGTGTAGTTATTGGGATGTATAGTTCACCTACAATCAAAGAGCATTCTGTACTCCACCAATGATGGAACTGAACCAAATATGGCACACAGAACTCCCACGACAAACAGAAAATATATATCAATGATTGGTTGGGGGGGGGCCCGCAAAATACTGTTTGCTTACCGTTGAAAATTACCTAGGGCCGCCTCTGCTTATCTCCCTTTTCATCCTTGCAGCAGGCCTGTGTTGGAAGTGAGGCTGAGAAAGCGTAACTGAACCAAGATCTCCCAGTGAGGTTTATAGCTTGGGGAGGATTTGAACCTGGATTTCCCAGCTCTGCGTCCAATATTTCTGCCATGACCAGCCTTTTTAAATGACTCTTGCTTTGAGCAGTCCATAGCAGCCCATTAGAATAGCTTAGTTGCTTCAAGCATGGTGAAGATTTGTGGGTGAAAACATTTCCTTACCAGTGTAACAGTGTACATTGCTTCCTGTACTTATGGAAACATTGGTTCTTGTTTGCATTGCTATTTGGCATCGCCACGTTTGTTCAGAATCTCAGGGCAGGCTGACTATCTGCATTTTCATTAATCTACTTTTGAACAACATAAGGTGCATCTACACTCTAGAATTAATGCAGTTCGATACCACTTTACCTGCCATGGCTCCATGCTATGGAATTGTGAGGCTTATATTTTGTCGGGTGTCACTGCTCTTTGGCTAAGTTCCCTGTAAAGCTACAACTCCCACGATTCCATAACATTGGGCTGTGAAAGTTAAAGTGGTATCAAACTGCATTAATTCTACAATGTAGATATACCCTTATTTCTCAAACAGATGTGCGTCCACAGAAATAAATAACCAATGATGTTTAGCTGATAGTAACCCACCTTTATGTTGTCAAAGGCTTTGCATTTATATGTTTTAATTGTTTTGTAATTTGAAATGTTATTTCATTTCATTGTCGAAAGCTTTCATGGCTAGGAATCACTGGGTTGCGGTGACTTTTCCAGGCTGTATGGCCATGCTCTAGAAGCATTCTCTCCTGATGTTTCACCCACATGTATTGCAGGCAACCTCTGAGGATGCCTGCCATAGATGTGGGCGAAACATCAGGAGAGAATTCTTCTGGAATATTGCAATACAGCTCAGAAAACTCACAGCAACCCAATCTCTCATTATTTTTGCCTAGTCCATCACCTGTCCTGCAGGCCAACTGTATTTATTCACTCATTCCATTGACAAAACAGCCAATGCGGTGTGTTGAAACTGGCCAGAGTACATAAGCCAGCCTTGTATCTTCTTTGTATCTCCTAAAAATAGGAGTTGCAGAACAAAAGAGGAGTAAGGAGGTTGAATAGTGGAGCTCAACTACATTGTTCGCCAACATTGCAGGCTGCAAGACAATCTGAGCAGCGCTGTCTCCTACTTCTTTATTCTTTTGTACTACCTATTCTTTGTGCTGTGCTATTTTAGGCTTGGTTAACTACAGTTATTCTGTTTCTTCTCCTCCCTTTCTATTTTAAAAAAGTCTTTTTTATTCCCATGTGTGGTATTTCAAGAAACAAAATTCCAGGCATCACATGATACTGTAGAAGAAATATTTTAGTCAAAGATTGCCACATTGTTCAATTAATATTTTAGTATTATTGGGGCCCACTGGTGGCGCAGTGGGTTAAACTGCTGAGCTGCTGAACTTGCTAATCAAAAGGTCGGTGGTTCAAATCCGAGGAGCAGGGTGAGCTCCCGCTTTTAGCTCCAGCTTCTGCCAACCTAGCAGTTCGAAAACATTCAAATATGAGTAGTTCAATAGGTACTGCTCCAGCGGGAAGGTAACGGTACTCCATGCAGTCATGCTGGCCACATAACCTTGGAGGTGTCTATGGACAATGCTGGCTCTTTGGCTTAGAAATGGAGATGAGCACCAACCCTCAGAGTCAGACACGACTAGACTTATTGTCAGGAGTAACCTTTACCTCTTATTATCAGGGAGGTGTGTCGGTCCCTCTCAAGAAATCTCCGTGCCTATGCTGGAGGGCCACAGTTGTCCGCTAGAGCAGTGGTTCTCATCCTGTGGGTCCCCAGATGTTTTGGCCTTCAACTCCCAGAAATCCTAACAGCTGGTAAACTGGCTGGGATTTTTGGGATTTGCTGGCCAAAACACCCAGGGAGACACAGATTGAGAACCATTGCATTAGCGGTTAAGAATTAGTTTCAGACAAAGTTAATGATACTTCAGTGGGAAAACTTTATTTGGATCTACTTTTTAAAAAATATATGAATAAGCTCAAAGTCAACCAGGAGGTGGTCTGGACTGGGAAAGTCATGTGTGTCAGAAACCACTGCAGTTTGACTAAATGAGTAGTGTCCTGTTGCCGCTGGAGCTGAAATGAGGTGCTTTTAAGAGAGGATGTTAGGCTTGCATCCAGCGGGAAGCCAGGGCCCCTGAAAAGAAGCCTTTAGGAAAATTTCCCTTATTAAGCAGTCTTTATGAGGCTTGAGCTTAAATATTACAGTTCTTTATTAATGAACAAACAGGAATTGTAAGCTTTCGTATCAGTCTATTAGCTCTTGCAATCTTGTTTACAGGAAACAGGCACTATCTTCAAGAACTTTGCTCAAAGGAAAATTCCCCCTTTTAGCTCCTCCCAGGCTGCTGTGAACCTAAACCTGACTGATTTGAGTCTACTACCGGCTGAACTGCATCTCAGAACCTAGCAGACGTACCAGCAGGCCTGTAGTCACTTAGCTGGAGATGAGCAGAGCTGTTATTCCCTCCGGAAGTCCTCAGGGCTGTAAAGCTGTTTCCCTGGAACCCTTTGGGAATATGTAGGGGCTCTTAAAACTGTTCTCCCCTGGGAAGTCCTAAGAGATGAAGCCTTTGCACAGGAGGACGTTTGTGTACATCCTCTGCATTGACTTCCTTTTCGAGATCGACAGAAAAATGGCCCTTTCCCTCCAAAAAAAAACCCAGAGAGGGGCGGGACCAGGGAACCTAACTGTTATTGACAGGTGACTTGTCCTATGAATGCAAATTATAACAGGAAACCTGGGATTGCAAACCAACATTTAATCCAAAGAAATAAAATTGGAGCTCCTGGAACAGCTGTTCCAGGACAAGTAGTCCTCTTTAAAGTGAATTACAACAGTTTCATCCATAGCAGAGCACCTTATGAACCAACCTGAACACAGCTTATTATTTCAGAACACAAATGTTGGACCACTCTAACAACTACCATGTTAGGCCACTCAGAGAAGCCACTGAAACCCACAAGCAATATTTGCAAATTAAAGAACACTTCTTCAGTTCAGATAAACATGTAGGGTTTAGTGCTAAAGATGAATTTTGGGACAAACTGATGCAAATAGGAAAGAAATTAATAACTATAATTTATAATAAACTGCTTGGCCGGACAGCTGAAACAGAAAAAATAAAAAATTCAAAGATTAAATGGGCAAAAAATATTGGCAGACCAATATGGCAGAATTGGCAATTGGCAGAAGGAATGGTCAAAAAGACTTAAATATACATATGCCACATATTTAAAAGAAAATTGGTTAAAATGCTTCATAGTTGGTATATGACAACGAAAAAATTAGGACTGATGTACAAAGAGGCAGATGATAAATGCTGGAAATGTGAGATGCAAGAAGGGTCATACTACCACATTGCGAAAAAACAAACAACTATTGGAAAAAGATTCACAAAGAGTGTAAAATAATACTAAAAGCAGAACTGACTCTGAACTATTTGCGGACAGTAAAAAAGAAATGGTTTTCACTATTTGACAACTGCAGCAAGAATAGTTTACGCAAAAGCTTGGAAACTGGATACTATACTGGCTAAGGAACTTTGGATGGATAAGATAATAGAGATAAAGGACGTGGATAAACTCACATTCTTGTTAAAGAAAAACACTGGTAGAAGTATGAAAATGACGGATTGGTCAACTTTCGAAGAATATATGAAGATGCAACATGTAGAAAGGAAAAGAAAGGAAAAGAAAATGAAAAATTTGGACTAGACAAAAGTAGGGAAAGAAAAGATTGTTAGAACTAAAAAAAACCTATAGACCTGAACGTAAGGAAGAAGAATGGAAATTAAAAAAAATTGCCTCTCCCTTCCCCCTCCCCTTTCCCCCTCTTTTCTCTCTTTTCTATTAACACTTTCTGCTTGTTTTTCCTGATGTTTTACCATATCCCTTTTTTGAATATTTCTAATAAAAATATATGACAAAAAAAAAAAAAAAGAAATCCACAAGCATGTGGACAATTTCAACAGAAAGGAGGAAACCATGAAGATGAACACAATCTGACTACCAGGAGCCCCCGGTGGCACAGTGGGTTAAATCCCTGTGCCAGCAGGACTGAAGACCGACAGGCCACAGGTTCGAATCCGGGGAGAGGCGGATGAGCTCTCTCTATCAGCTCCAGCTCCTCATGCGGGGACATGAGAGAAGCCTCCCACAAGGATGATAAAAACATCAATTCATCCAGGCGTCCCTTGAGCAACGTCCTTGCAGACGGCTAATTCTCTCACACCAGAAGCGACTTGCAGTTTCTCAAGTCACTCCTGACACGACCAAAAAAACAAAAACAACAGTATTATTATTTATTATTATAAAACTATAAGGGCCAGCTAACACCACCCAACAAAGCCTTCCCCCAGGCAGCAATCAGCCAGCCTTTGAAGCTGCAAGGCCATTCAATGCTAATCAGGGTGGCTAATTGCAACATCCATACTTGCTTCAAACAGACAAAAGTTCTTTCTCCCACTGTGGACATTCCACGGATATATAGACCTCACTTGCCTAGTTTCCAACAGACCCCTCAACCTATGAGGATGCCTGCCATAGATGTGGGCAAAATGTCAGGAGAGAATGCTTCTGGAACATGGCCCTATAACCCAGAAAACTCATAGCCACCCAGTTTCCCCATAGTCTTAATTTTCTACTGCCCTCTCAGTCTGTCCCTTTGTGCCACTCCTCCAGACCCCTGTTGATGTTCTTTCCAGCCATTTATCTGCATGCCTTTCTGCTCGGCTCTAGGCTCTTCTCTGTTGTTTAAAAGAGGAGGCTTTCTTCCTTGCATACTAACTGGTGGCTCTTGGCTCAGCTTCACTGCCCAGGCAGGAGGCAAGAGATGAAGATGAGCAGGAGGAGGGAGTCTTGGTGCTTCAGGTGAACTCTGCCGCTGCCTGTTGCGATCCCTGTTCCTTGGCTTGGCAGGATGCCAGAGGAAAGGCATGATGGATTAATTACATCCTGTCTTTCCTGGAGTTTCTAATTCTGACTCCACAGCCCCCTGTGATTCTCCCACTTCCCGGCTTCTTTCTGAAGTTATGTGTTTTTATTTGGATGCTGATGAAGGAGAGGAAAAAGATTATTTATTTATTTATTTATTTATTATCAAAAGCATTGCATAAATTAGTATAAAACTGATAAAAATAGAAGGAGTGCAGGTGGCTAAATATCTTTTGACCAAAAATGGGCAACAGCAATGGCATTGTATGTATCCTCCAACAAATTCTTCCTCTCTACATGAGGCAGGGCATAGTGGACAAGCATACAGATGCGGAGTTGTCTGTTCTGCTCCACAGTCACATAAGGTGTGGGATTCTTTCAGGTAGTGCCATTTTGCCAGGTTGTCTTTTGATCTGCCCACTCCCCCTTCTGAGTCTGTTTAGGGACTTCCAAGATGCCCGTTCTTGGATTGACAAACATTCAGTGCCTGGACATAAAAACATAAATATATACAAACATTAAAATCATTTATATCCACATTAAAGGTTGTTTAAAAACCATCTCAGGACACAATTTTGCCTCATTGCACTGCCTCAAAGGCTTGGTCCCATAAATGTGAGTAGATCAATAGGTATTGCTCCAATGGGAAGGTAACGGCGCAGGCGCTCCATGCAGTCATGACCTATGAGGTGTCTACGGACAATGTTGGCTCTTCAGCTTAGAAATGGAGATGAGCACCAAACCCCTAAGTCGGACATGACTAGACTTAATGTCAGGGGAAAACCTTTACCTTTAGCTTTAGTATGGTGAGGAGACGTGGGTAAGAAATAATAATAATAATAATAATAATAATAATAATAATAATAATAATAGACTTGAAGAGTGTGGTGTTTCTTCAAGATTATTATTATTATTATTATTTTATTTCTTACCCATAAAAGCTATAAAAACCTCTAGAAGTATGATTGGATGTGAACCCAATTATTTAGCCTGGCCCTTTCAGCATTTATAATTATTCTACTTTAATTTCCATGCTTTTAGTGGCTTCCGCGCATTACCGAAATTTTGCTGAAATTCCGTTTTTTGGTCTGTTTGAGAAGGGCATGAAAGTTTATTAAATATGCAAATATGCTCCCCCTGTGGTGCAGTGGATTAAACTGCTGAGCTGCTGAACTTGCTGACCGAAAGGTCGCTGGTCCAAATCTGGGGAGCGGCGTGAGCTCCCCCTGTCAGCCCCAGCTTCTGCCAACCTAGCAGTTTGAAAAAATGCAAATGTGAATAGATCAATAGGTACTGCTTTGGCGGGAATGTAACGGCGCTCCATGCAGTTATGCCGGCCACATGACCTTGGAGGTGTCTATGGACAACGCTGGCTCTTCGACTTAGAAATGGAGATGAGCACCAACCCCCAGAGTCGGACACGACTGGACTTAATGTCAGGGAAAACCTTTACCTTATGTAAATATATTGAGATTATTCTCAATATATTTACATATTAGTTATGTAAATTTCCACCTGAGGAATACCATGCTGTCTTCCCCTCCTCCAGCCTTTTCTTTTCCCTTCTCTGCAGGAGGCTGTGTCCGTTTCAGGGAATGAGGAGCGCTTGGTGGCAGTCCATGATGTCATTCAGCAGCTGCCTCCGCCACATTATAGGTAGGCATTGTCTAAAGCTGTGGATTCACAGTCCTGCCAACTGGGTTGGGAGTGTGGGCAGAGGCATCTGGGAATGGAAGGGAGCTTGGGGCATAGGCTGGGTTGCGAGGGAGTCGGGGAGGGCAGATGGTAGAAGCAGTCCTTTGAGCTGTAGCTGCTTCTGCTCTATCTCTACAGGACTCTGGAGTTCCTCCTGCGGCACCTGGCACGCATGGCTATGCACAGTCAAAACACCAGCATGCATATTCGCAATTTAGCCATCGTTTGGGCACCCAACCTGCTGCGGTGAGATGGCACCGGCACTTCCCTTGTGCCTCCCCTTTAATGTGCAAATGCTCGGCTTTGCCTTCCTTCCAGCTCCTTTTTTGCACTGCTCTTGTAATCTTCTCCATGTTGCCGTAATATTTTCCCTGTGGTATCAGTGATCACCGACGCCTGCCAACAGTTCTCTGGGGGCATATCTTTCCCATACCGACTCCCGGGAATTAGACTCCACAGCTCTTGAGCATCATTTGGCTTCTCTGGTTCTTCCCTATCATTCCCTGGCACTGGTCTAACCTTTTTGTGGATCATTTTGAGGTGGGGATTTGCTGGAGATACTCCAGTCTGCAAAATGTTCTGCCAACAGTAGTCTGTCGATACGCCTCATAAGCTTCTCTGTATTTGTTTACACATTCTAACTACACAGATATCTATAAGTAGAATGTAAATACACAAATGTCCTGTTGCTATACACTTCAGCAAAAGTATCCATTCAATTAATTATGAGAATACTCAATTAATTCGTATAGTACACAAGCGCTTGTGTACTATATGAATTAATTGAGTATTCTCATGATTAATTGAATGGATACTTTTGCTGAAGTTTATAACAACAGGACATTTGTGTATTTACATTATTTGCTTTTACATACATGCTGATCAGAGCCCCCAGTAGTGCAGCGGGCTAAACTGCTGAGCTTGCTGACAGAAAGGTCGGCGGTTCAAATCTAGGGAGCAGGGTGAGCTCCCACTATTAGCCCCAGCTTCTGCTAATCTAGCAGTTCAAAAATATGCGAATGTGAATAGATCAATAGGTACCACTTCGATGTTAAGGTAACAGCGAGCCATGCAGTCATGCTGGCCACATGACCTTGGAGGTGTCTATGGACAACGCCGGCTCTTCGGCTTAGAACTTGAGATGAGTTGGACATATCTAGACTTAATGTCAAGGGGAAACCTTTACCTTACCTGCTGACTGTCCCAATTCGCCAGAGAGAGTCCTGATTAAACTTCTGTCATCCCAGCTTTTCAGCTGCTTTTAAGATGTCACAATTTCCCTCTCCACTTCCCACTTTCCTTCTTTGTCCCCAGCTTAAATTCAGTTGCTGTAAACCAGGGGTCCTCAAACTTTTAAAACAGAGGGCCAGGTCACAGTCCCTCAAACTGTTGGAGGGCCAGATTATAATTTGAAAAAAACATGAATGAATTCCTATGCACACTGCACATATCTTATTTGTAGTGCAAAAAAACACTTTAAAACAATACAATAATTAAAATGAAGAACAATTTTAACAAATATAAATTGATTAGTATTTCAATGGGAAGTGTGGGCCTGCTTTTGGCTGATGAGATAAGATTGTTGTTGTTCTTTTGTGCTTTCAAGTCGTTTCAGACTGAGGTTGACCCTGAGTGAAGGCTGGGTAAATGATATTGGAGGGCCATATCCGGTCCCCGGGCCTTAGTTTGAGGACCCTTGCTGTAAACTGATTGCAAAGTACAAAAGTATAATTCATCAAGGGGAATACAGAGAGGGATCTGCCCTTTCTCTATAGACTCGGTTGAAAGCAAACTCCTGCACCTTTCATGCCTTGTGTGTCTCTTCCTCATTAATAACCTTTGGCAGCTTAACCACTTTTTATGTTGCTTGGTTCTATCTTCCCCAGGTTTATTCTGTGAAATGTTGCACTTATTCTCCACTCTGCTTCCCTTTCCCTTGTGCCTGATGCAGTCACCATTCCACAATATATCTTCTAAACTCCATTACTTGCAGAATCTTGCCATTGTCATTAATGCAGTAGTTCTCAACCTTCCTAATGCTGCGACCCCTTAATACAGTTCCTCATGTTGTGATGACCCCCAAACCATAACATTATTTTCATTGCTACTTCATAACTGTAATTTTGCTACTGTTATGAATCGTAATGTAAATATCTGATATGCAGGATATATTTTCATTCACTGGATCAAATTTGGCACAAATATTTGATATGCCCAAATTTGAATATGGGGGGAAGGTGGTTGATTTTGTCATTTGGGAGTTGTAGTTGCTGGGATTTATAGTTCACCTACAATCAAAGAACATTCTGAACACCAGCAGCGATGGAATCAAACTAAACTTGGCTCACAGAACTCCCATGACCAACAGGAAATACTGGAAGGGTTGGTGGGCATTGATGTTCCATTTTGGAGTTGTACTTCACCTACATCCAGAGAGCAATGTGGACACAAACAATGATGGATCTGGACCAAACTTGACACGGATACTCAATATGCCCAAATGTGAACACTGGTGGAGTTTGGGGAAAATAGATCTTGACATTTGGGAGTTGAAGTTGCTGAGATTTATATTTCACCCACAATGAATGAGCATTCTGAACCACACCCACGATAGACTTGGGCCAAACTTCCCACACAGAACCCCCATTCCTTGAAGGGACTCGTTGGCAGAGCCTCCCTCCAGCTTTTCACGCTCTTCTTCGCCTTCACATGTGCACCACACTGCCATGTGCCATGTCTGCTCTCCCCTTCCCAGTTGGAGTTGGAGGTTTTCCTCCTGAGTTAAATATGCTCCCTTGGGTCTCATCTGGGCCCTCCGTAAGGCACAAGCATGATGCCCTGGTACTTCATTATGCTTGTTCCCATCTAGATCTTCTTGTGCCTGGCTGACCAGTAACACCCCTTCTGCCTTTTATGACAGATCAGTGACTCTGGAGTCTGTTGCTCAGTGTGGAGCTGATGCCTTCCAGGAAGTCCGGGTTCAGTCTCTGGTGGTTGAGTTCCTCCTCAACAATGTACAGACTCTCTTCAGTGACACTTTCACTTCGGTTGGCAAGGATGGTGCAGGTACCTCGGCCCCTTCTAAAGCCCTGTTTGCAGGTTTCTCAGAAGTCTTATGTAGCATCCTTCTCATGGAATCTCAAATGTCTCAAGGGAAACTGTCATTTCAGATTGCTGATGTTTGTAGAATCAATGTCGTTTTGTTTCCTCAACTGCCAATCTATTCCAGCCATAGGCAAAGAGCCATCACTAGTCCTTCCCTCCCTCCTCCCCACACTGTTGACAATGAAACCCTATTCTGATGTTTATGTCTCATGCAAGTAGAATTGTTTGGGGGAAGGACAGAGAAGAAGCCAATGATCCCTTCCTATTGCTTCCATACAGAGTGTGCTATGGGCTTCCAGGCAGTGGAGTAGCATGGAACACTGTTTAGCCTGCACAATGATATAGTTATGATATGTCACTGATGTTCTAGCATGTGGAAAGTTACTTTTTGAACAACTCCCAGAATCCCCAAACCACATGACCAATCCTTGAAGGAGTCTAGGGGTGTCATCTGAAAAATAACTTCCCCAAGCTATTATTCTTAATGATTCATGAGGCTTTCACAAGTACAGTAGAGTCTCGATCAGCCAACCTTCATTCATCTAACGTGCTGTATTATCCAACACAGTCTGTCTCCCCCCCCCCCAGATCCACAGCTGTTTCAATACATTGCAATGTTTTGATGCTAAATTCGTAAATACAGTAATTACTACATAACGTTACCGTGTATTGAACTGCTTTTTCTCTCGATTTGTTGTAAAAGGTGATGTTTCAGTGCTTAATTTGTAAAATCATAACGTAATTTGACGTTTAATAGGCTTTTCCTTAATCCCTCCTTATTATCCAACATTTTTGCTTATCCAATGTTCTGCTGGCCAGTTTATGTTGGATAAGTGAGACTCTACTGCAGGGGTTCTCAAACTTTTTAAACAGAGGGCCAGGTCACAGTCCTTCAAACTGTTGGAGGGCCAGATTATAATTTGAAAAAAAAAACATTAATGAATTCCTATGCACGCTGCACATAGTTTATTTGTAGTGCAAAAAACACTTTAAAACAATACAATAATTAAAATGAAGAACAGTTTTAACAAATATAAACTTATTAGTATTTCAGTGGGAAGTGTGGCCTGACTTTGGCAGATGAGATAGGACTGTTGCTGTTGTTGTTGTTGTTGTTGTTGTTGTTGTTGTTGTGTGTTTTCAAGTCATTCCAGACTTAGGTTGACCTTCAGTGAGGGCTGGGTAAATGACCTTGGAGGGCCGTATCCGGACCCTAGGCCTTAGTTTTTGAGGACCCCTGCTCTACTGTAATACCACCTCTCTAGGGCCCCCTAGTGGCACAGTGCATTAAACCGCTGAGCTGCTGAACTTGCTCATGGAAACATTGGCAGTTCGAATTCGGGTTAGCCTTAGCTTCTGCCAACCTAGCAGTTCAAAAGCATGTAAATGTGAGTAGAACAACCACTTCTGCGGGAAGGTAACGGTGCTCCATACAGTCATGCTGGCCTCATGATCTTGGAGGTGTCTATGGATAACATCGGCTCTTCCCCTTAGAAATGGAGATGAACACCACCCTCTAGAATTGCACATGATTAGACTTAATGGCAGGGGAGATCTTTACCATTATTTTTACCAGTTCTGAATAAGTCTGGAGTCCTGCTGACCTTTTGGAATACGTCAGAGTTTTATTTGGAACGATTGTTGGAGGTTGTAACCCATGGCTCCATCTTCCAATGTCAGGGACACTCCAAGGTATTTTTTGCTTGAGGCAGAGCAGTAAATCGATCTTAACTCTGTTCAAAGTGTTTGATGACCTGTGACAGCCAAGTTATTTTGGAACAATAGGCAGAAAATCTCATAAGCATCCCTAGCCTTAAAATCACACTTTCAATAACCAACAATCTGCTGCCCTTTTGTGGCATTGAAATTAAACCCGAGGCAGCCACCTGACCTTGATGTGCTATTTTGCAAAGTTATCCAACGTGTTATACAATATTGGGAGATCTCAAAAATATTTATTTACAGTTACCTCAAAGAACTATGACTGAAGGCAAATCTTCTGTTTTTTATGGCTGCGTTCTTTTGCCTGTCCTTTTCTCTGCAAACTGCCTTTGGAGGCCTCTGGGCAGGAAGTCAGGCTATCAATTTTTAAATGACTAAACAAATATTTAAAGAGTGGTGACAAGGTGTTCTTCACCTACAATGTGAGCTTGCTTCTGCGATTTGCGTGACAAAGCCTGGCTCTACTGTCAGCTCCCTCACCTTCCTTCCTGATTCAGAAAGGCCTCCCCTTCCTATTTGGTTGTTTACTTATCTTTTAAAAAAAGGCTCCCTTGTGATACAGCAGGTTAAACCGCTGAGCTGCTGAACTTGCTGACCAAAAGGTTGGCAGTTCAAATCCGGAAGCGGGGTGAGGTCCCACTGTTAGTCCCTGCTTTTGCCAACCTAGCAGTTCGAAAACATGCAAATGTGAGTAGATTAATGGGTACCGCTTCTGCGGGAAGGTAACCGTGCTCCATGCAATCATTCTGGCCACATGACCTATGGACAACGCTGGCTCTTTGGCTTAGAAATTGAGATGAGCACCACCCCGCAGAGTCGGATACAGCTAGACTTAATGTCAGGAGAAACCTTGACCTCTTATTATCAGGGAGGTGTGTTGGGCCCTCTCAAGAAATCCTCCCTGTGCCTATGCTGGAGGGCCATAGTTGTCCACTAGAAGTTAAGAGTTAGATTCAGACAAAGTTAATGATGCTTCAGTGGGAAAACTTTATTTGGATCTACTTTTTAAAAATATATGGATAAGCTCAAAGTCAACCTGGAAATGACATGAACTGGGAAATTTATGTGTGCCAAAAACCACTGCAGTTTGACTAAATGAGCAGTCCCCAAAGCCATGCTCCTGGAAGTTGATGGACTTCAAGTCCCATGAGCCCTAATAAAGATGACCTTATCAAAATTCTGTAGTCCAGTGATATTTGGGAATGCAACACTTGGAACCATTGGCATTGGTACTTTATTCCCTGGGAAAACATTAGACAGCTTGCTTGAACTGATGATGCAGGCATGAGGCTTTACCCCTCTTTGCCTTGCTTCTGCCTCTCTCCTCTGACAGGACGCTGCTTCCTTCCCCGACCCAAATCCCAGCTGGTGAGCTGTCCCTCCACTCGGTTGCTGTCTCTGGAAGAAGCTCAGGCTCGTACCCAGGCCCTCTGTAAGATCACCAAGTCGGAGGCCAGACAAAGATCCGCTGATCTGCAGGGACAAGGAAAAATCTCCACTGTGTTGGGTTCACCTGACACCAGGTAATGGGGGCTACATGTATAGTGGCAGTTAAGGAAATGGGAAGCCTGAGCCCGATTCCGCACAAGGAAAAAGTCCAGTCTCAATCAGGTTTAAAAAACCTGGGTCAGTCTGGACTACTGTCCCCACACCTGCAAAACATCCCCTCACTTGGCGGTGTCAAGATGCCCTGCTGGACCTTCCGACACCAACAAAAACCCCTCGGAAAAGCCTTAAAATTAAAAAATTACTTAGCCAGCCCCCATTACCCTGCATAGAAATGGTCTGCCAGGAGAAGGGGCTGGATAACTGATTTTCCGGAGCCCCCGGTGGCGCCTTCTATTAGCTCCAGCTCCTCATGCAGGGACATGACAGAAGCCTTCCACAAAGATGATAAAACATCAAAAATCATCCAGGCGTCCCCTGGGCAACGTCCTTGTAGACGGCCAATTCTCTCACAACAGGAGCGGTTGCTCCTGACATGACAAAAAACAACAACTGATTTTCCTCCTCCCCCCGTCTCCTAGCGTGTCATTTCTATGCACCAGGAGTGGGCTGATAGTGGTTGGTTAAGTAATTTTGACTTTGTAAGGCCTTTAAAGGGGTTTTGGGGAGGGGGGGGGCTGTCATAGGGTTTTTGGGTTCCGGAAATCCCGAAACAGCTGTGTGGGTTGGGCCCGGAAGTTGTGTGGTGTGATTCTCGGGTCCAATCTACACAGGGCCCACAGCTGGAAAGAACCAGGTCTTCTGAAAAGCCTGGGTCTTTCCAGGGGTCAACTTAATTTGGCACAAAGCAGGGTTTTCCTGTTTTGTGCTGAAATAATTTGCTTTTACCTGAGGCGTCATTTGGACACCGCAGGTAAAAGCACGGGAGCTTGCGCATTTTGTGAGCTGTCTGGCTGCAGCCTGGGAAAGTGTGGCACATGGCATCATCTTCCTTATTAATTAATTATGTTTTGATTCTGCAAACCCTGACTTCACTACACATTTGTTTCTTCTTTTGTTATTTTTTATTGTGAAAGATATGTAAGTGTGTATGTATGTATGTGTGTGTGTTTAGTCTTCGAAATCAAAATACAAGCATTATTTTTCCAGTCCCACCACCTCCCCATTCCCACCTTTGAACCCCCACCCTTGACTTCTCTTTCCATAATACAAAGGTACAGGAATATTATTGAATATTTATACCTCGGTATGATCAAGCATGTAATCATTTTCCCCTGGTTTCTCCAGCTATTCTATAGTTTACACACAATACAAATAGATTGACTGTAACTCAGTCTTATTAATCTTACTACACATTTTAAGGGTTGTGTGCAGAGATCCTGTGACAGTTGATGCATGATGTGGGAGCATTTTCTATCTGTTTAGCATTGTGATTAAATGTGTTCCCTGATTGACAAAAAGTTCCCAGGATTGCTCCCATTGATCTGTAGAAGGCTTGAATGTTTAGTAGCTGAAGCTGGTGGCGCAATACTGACCTGTCTTTTCCACCTGTAGGCAAAAGGCCGAAAGTAATGGGAGGGTACGGAAAACGTCAGGCCCTGGCTGGAAGGCTTTCTTTGCCATTGGCAAAGCCCCAGTTACATTCCGCAAGAAATCGCATCGACTTGGAGAGCTTTTTGGTCTTGGAGAGCCTCTGCCAGGTGAGAGACTCAATGGACACCAGAACAGCATATGCTGCTAAGGATGCTTCAGGACCCTGTCTGCTTTTAGCCAAATCATTCAGTGTCAGTGCAGATCAGAGTACTGTAACTCTCTAAACCATTTCAGGAAATGTGCTGAGATGGCTTCACGTCTTGGAGTCACTGGGGTGTCTAGTCTGATTCTTAACAAAATAGCCAGTGCTGTTCTGGAGCCTTGTTTTAAAGTCGACAAGCTGGAATGTGCCCAACGGAGGGCGACTAAAATGATCAAGGGTTTGGAGAACAAGCCCTATGAGGAGCGGCTTAAAGAGCTGGGTGTGTTTAGCCTGAAGAAGAGAAGGATGAGAGGCGACATGGTGAAGGCCATGTATCAATATGTGAGAGGAAGTCATAGGGAGGAAGGACCAAGCTTATTTTCTGCTGCCCTGGAGACTAGGACATGGAACAATGGCTTCAAACTACAAGAAATTACCTGAACTACAAGATTCCACCTGAACTTGAGGAAGAACTTCCTGACGGTGGGAGCTGTTCAGCAGTGGAGCTCTCTGCCCTGGAGTGTGGTGGAGGCTTCTTCTTTGGAGGCTTTTAAGCAGAGGCTGGATGGCCATCTGTCGGGGGTGCTTTGAACGAGATTTTTCTGCATCTTGGCAGGAGTTGGACTGGATGGCCCATGAGATCTCTTCCAACTCTAGGATTCTATGATTCTATAAAAAGTATTTATTTATTTATTTACGACATTTATATCCTGCCCTTATCACCCCAAAGGGGACTCAGAGTAGCTTACAAGTTATATGTACATACAATAAATTAGATTACTAGCATAGCACAATATTAGTATTATATATTACTATATTTCACTATATCACTATACTGTAATATTATTAGTAATATTACATGTAATATAAAATATTATTATATTATTATATTGTATATTATATAATATATTATATATACTATTATATAAAGTAGTGAGAACTATCTCCACCCAAGTTGTGTAATTTAAATAACTCTGTCTCGAACAACAATAAAAAATGTGTTGTGTCATAAACACATTGCTCTCCTTCACCCTTTCGGATCCGGGACTGGTGCCACGGGACAGTTAACCTACCCTCTTTTGCAAAGATAATGTAGAGCAGCGTTTCTCAACCTGGGGGTTGGGACCCCTGGGGGGGTCGCGAGGGGTTGTCAGAGGGGTCGCCAGAGACCATCAGAAAACACAGTATTTTCTGTTGGTCACYGGAGTTCTGTATGGGAAGTTTGGCCCAATTCTCTTGTTGGTGGGGTTCGGGATGCTTTTTGATTCTAGGTAAACTATACATCCCAGTAAGCACAACTCCCAGATGGCAAGGTCTATTTTCCCCAAACTCCACCAGTGTTCACATTTGGGCATATTGAGTATTTGTGCCAAGTTAGGTCCAGATGCATCATTAAGATCTTGTGGGTTTTTTCGGGCTATATGGCCATGTTCTAGAGGCATTTCTAGAGAAATGCCTCTAGAACATGGCCATATAGCCCGAAAAAACCCACAAGACCTTAGTGATTCCAGCTATGAAAGCCTTCGACAATAGATCCATCATTGTTTGAGTCCGCAGTGCTCTCTGGATGCAGGTGAACTACAACTCCAAAAACCAAYGTCAATGCCCATCAAACCTTTCCAATATTTTCTATTGGTCACAGGATTTCTGAGTGCCAAGTTTAGTTCAGTTCCATCGTTGGTGTAGTTCAGAATGCTCCTTGATTGTAGGTGAACTATAAATCCCAGGAACTACAACTCCCAAATGACAACATCAACCCCCACCCCAACCCCACCAGTATTCAAATTTGGGTGTATCACGTATTTGTGCCAAAATTGGTCCAGTGAATGGAAATCCTTTCTGCATATCAAATATTTGCATTGCAATTCATAACAGTAGCAAAATGACAGTTATGAAGTAGCAATGAAAATAATGTTATGGTTGGGGGTCAGCACAACAGGAGGAACTGTATTAAGGGGTCACGGCTTCAGGAAGGTTGAGAAACACTGATGTAGAGAGTTAGAGAGCTATGAAATTGTATCCTGAATTCACTAGAGCAGAGTCGTTCCCAATCTTTGGTCGTCCAGGTGTTTTGGACTTCAGCTCAGATAGTTCCTAACAGCTGGTAGGCTGGCTGGCTGGCTGGGATTTCTGGGAGTTGAAGTCCAAAACACCTGTAAGACCAAAGTTTGGGAACCCACTGCACTAGAGAAAGGTGGAATAGAAATGCAACAAATTTACTTCTTTCTCTTGTCTTGCTGTAGGAGGCCAAGCTGAAACAGTTACTCTACGATCAGCCAAGAGTGAGGAATCCCTGACATCACATGCCAGCATGACAGGTAATGAGGATTTTGAGTGCTGATACTTTGTGTAGGGCTGGATTGGATGGCGCTTGTATTTTTTTCCAGCTTTGTGAGTCTATGCTGTCTGGAGCAAAGAATAAGATTTTGCTCCCACCATTCCATCTGATTAGACTGACTTTTGAATTTTTTTCAATATGGGTGATAGGATAAATGTCTTCCTCTATAGCTGAAGGTAGCTGAGCATCGGAGAGGTATATAGATGGTGCAAACTAGGCTTGGTTTATCGACACAGAAAAGTTGGTTCAAAACTCGTTTCGGATGTAGGGGATACTGGTGGTTCGATTCTAAAGTCAATTCTGATTTTCCCAGAAATTTTTTTTCAAAACTTTTCGAAACTTCTGAGACTTCCAAATCCTTTCGTTAATGGTTTGAAAGTGTTATTTCCTGTTTCATTGGGTGGTTTTTACTTTGAAAGTAGTTGTTTCCCAATGTCTAGGACTGTGTGATATATCGATGAATAATGTGTGCAGATCCCAGTAGGGTGGCCTTTTGCAGCTGACAGATGGTATTTTGTCAGCGCCAATTGTGTTTAAGTGCAGGCCAAGGTCTTTAGGCACCACACCCACTGTGCCAATCACCACTGGCTTGTGCCAGATACATCACACAGTCCTAGACACTTGGGAAGTGTCTGATGTGTGATGCAGTACAACAGCCAGCATAGTGATCTTGTTTGCTGTGTATAGTTTAATAATAATAATAATAATAATAATAATAATAATAATAATAATAATTTATTTGTACCGTGCCACCATCTCCCCAAAGTGCTGTGTACTATAATCTTGTTGTATTTCTAATAATAATAATAATAATAATAATAATAATAATAATAATAATACATTTGTAACTCGCTCTATCTCCCCGGGGGGACTCATGTGGAGCTGTTGCATATTAATTGCCTTCTTTTTTTAAAAAAATAATTTTTTATTACATTTTATAAACATAGAAAGAATTGTACAAGGAAAGAGGGGGAACATTGTGAAATAGGAAAGTAGGGGAAAAAAAGGTTTGAGAAGCACAAATACACCAATTAAGAAAAAACAGAAAAAAATACAAATACAAAGACAACAAGTACAAATACAAAAGAAAAAAAATCATAATAATAGAAGAAAAAACAGGGGAAAAAAACAGGAAAAAAATACAAACTTTGGTTAAAAGTGACTTCCATCTAGTCATTGGGGATCTTTACAAATCTTTCTGAAATTACTTCTATGTCATTCCTTCCGTATATGTATATACATATGTTGTGATTTACTCTTGTTAGTATATGATATCTATTTTCCATTGCCTGAAATGTTCTTTAATCGGATCCCAGTTTGTGGGTTTCCTTGGGATTCCATAATTAGGTGTTATCCAATAGGTTAATTCATCCATACTTATTATGTCCATTATTTTATTGTGCCAGTCTTCTCTTTGAGGTGTCTCTTTCTGTCTCCATTTTCTAGCATACACGACCCGGGCCGCGGTTGTTAAATAATGAAATAATTTTTCTTTGTTTATCTCTCCCTCCAAATCGAGCATTCCTAATAAGAAGAACTCTGGGTCTTTCTTTATTTGAATTTTTAATATTTTTTGTATGTCTTTGTGAATCGTGCTTCAGAATCCTTTTGCTTTTGGACAAGTCCACCAGATGTGGAAAAAGGTTTCAATCTGTTGGTCGTACTTCCAGCATTTAATTGCCTTCTTGGTCAGGCATGGGCAAACTTTGGCCCTCTAAGTGTTTTGCACCTTAACTCCCACAATACCGGCTATTAGGAATTGTGGGAGTTGAAATCCAAAACACCCGGAGGGCTGAAGTTGGCCCATGCCTTTTCTAAGTGGTCTCTGATCATGCAAGCTGGTCTGCAAGCAGTTGGTTACGTCAAGGTGGCAATAAATACCAGTTTAGCATCTAGCCTTGCCTGTTACTTTGTGGCGTGCGCATATTTGGTATGGTGGGTTGCATACATGCATGTCCTGATTGTTTTTCCTCCCCCACCCCACTTTGTCTTTCCCCTAGGCCTTCCCAAGCTGCCTTCCCTTCGGCGCCCCCACTCCAGCAGTGATGCGTTCCCCACCCTCAAGCCATGCCGCTCGTGCTCTTCTTTGGGTTCCTCTGTGTCGGGCCAGGGTGAAGGCCTGGCTGTTGGGACTGTAGACCTGGCTGCACGGCGCCGTTCTTCTTGGTTGGAGGGCGACTCGGAGCTGGACTCGGAGTTGGAGCTCAGCCCTCCTGGCCTCCGTGGCTTGGACTTTGACCCTCTGACCTTCCAGTGCAGCCCTCCTGCTCAGCAGCCCTCCCTCTCCGATGAATCCAGCTCTCCAAGCCCTGCCGGGCCCCTCTCACCCTGTTCGCCCCCACCTATCGGCACGTCGGAGTCATCGCCCATCTCCCTTCCCAACAAAGTGCTGGAAATGTTCACTGGGGGTGAGACAAGAGGCCTGAATGTGCAAGTCTCCCCACCACACATGATCTCCATGCTGCTGTGTGCTGCCGGTGGGCAGCTGAATGATACTTGTGAACGCGAAGTCCGCTGCAAGATTACACAAACCAAAGGTCGTTCCTCTCCACACAGTGAGTGGCAAGAATACTTAAATTTCTCAGGATTGTTCCAAAAGCATTTTCATACATGTGATTTTTTTTTCTGTGTCAGGAGCAACTTGATAAACTGCAAGTCGCTTCTGGTGTGAGAGAATTGGTCGTGTGCAAGGACATTGCTCAGGGGACACCCGGATGTTTTACCATCCTGTGAGAGGCTTCTTTCATGTCCCAGCATGGGAAGCTGGAGCTGACAGATGGGAGCTCAACCCACTCCCCGGATTTGAATAGTAGTAGTAGTAGTAGTAGTAGTAGTAGTAATAATAAACAAAGCGGTTACAACAGAATAAATGGCAAATTCAATGCCTCACATATATATAAAAATATCGCCTAACATCCTTGCCGGAGAACTTTGTTCCCACTGGAACAGTGACCTAGTTGAACCCCTGTCCCGTGATTTCATCCTCCTGGTCTACACCGCTCCTGCAGCAGCACCCACATCTAATGTGAATATTACTGGTAGCTATGCCCCCGGTGGCGCAGTGGGTTAAACCATTGAGCTGCTAAACTTGCTGACCGAAAGGTTGCAGGTTTGAATCCAGGGAGAGACATGAGCTTCCACTGTCAGCCCCAGCTTCTGCCAACCTAGCAGATCAAAAAATGGAAATGTGAGTAGATCAATAGGTACCTCTTTGGCGGGAAGGTAATGGTGCTCCATGCAGTCATGCCAGCCACATGACCTTGGAGGTGTCTACGGACAACGCCGGCTCTTCGGCTAAGAAATGGAGATGATCACCAACCCCAGAGTCTTGACACTACTGGACGTAATGTCAGGGGAAAACCTTTACCTTTAGCTATGCTCACAGAGATGCAGTGTGCAGAATGGACACTGTGGGGCACTGTTGGCCATCCTATGCTCCTGTATTGCACCATTGTGTGATATCACAGGCAATTCAGTGGAAGGCAGGGTCTGAGTGAAGGGTGAGTGGAAGTGGGAGCAGCAATTAAAATGTCTTTCCTTTGCGTATTTGCAGCATGTTCTAACATTTTAATAATTGTCTTTAACCCAATTAAAACATTAACAGCACCTTCTTTCTGCTGCTCTCTCGGAGATTCAGCCAATTCCTGGGAAGCTGCAGTAGAGAAGAACCCCAATACTTACCTATGTGCCAGAGGGGGAAAAGSGATGCTTTTGATGATAAAAATGCACCTCCGACACACACACACACACCTTGCTGTTTCCTTGTTGATCCTGCGCTCCTAGCTTCAAAACTGCGCAGTCCGTGGTGTGTTCAGAGAATTCAAACTGGGTGGGATGGGTGGGAGCTAATTGGCACATTTGTGTGTTTATTTAATAAACAACTTTATTTATACCCCACCACCATCTCCCCAAAGGGGACTCGGGGTGGCTAATATGAAGCCAAGCTCCCTCAAAAAAAAAAAAAAAAAAAACAGCAGTCCTGCCAGCACAAGAATTTAACCCATTGCACCACTGGGAGCTCTTACATGTGATATAAAAAGGAACCAATGTGATTAAGTAATTGAGTGTGAAATTAGGTCACAAGACAGACCAGGGTTCAGATCCCCACCCACCCATGAAAAATCTCTCAGGCAAGTCACACTCTCTCAGCCTTCGAGGAAAGCAGTGGCAAACCCTCTCTGAACAAATCCTGCCAAACAGACCTTATGAATGTGGTTTCCTAAATTACAGTAGTTCACAGATACAAACTAGGATGCATGTGCCTGACTAGGAGCCCTCAGTAATGCAGTGGGTTAAAGCTTTGTGTCAGCAGGACTGAAGACCGACAGGTAAGAGGTTCGAATCCAGGGAGAGTGCAGGAGAGCTCCCTCTGTCAGCTCCAGCTCCCCATGTGGGGGCATGAGAGAAGCTTCCCACAAGGATGGTAAAATATCAAACATCCTGACGTCCTGGACAACATCTTTGCAGATGGCCAATTCTGTCACACCAGAAGCGACTTGCAGTTCTCAATTTGCTCCTGACATGAAAAAAAATATGTGCCTGACTACAACACAGTTTGGTCAAAAGGCAAAAAGAGTAGGAGTAGGAGTAGTAGTAATTATAATAATACATTGTAATTGTAATGAATGAAATTTTATTTATTTATTTATTTACTTACTTACTTTATTTGTATACCGCTGTTCTCAGCCCTTAGGCAACTCACAGCGGTTAACAACAAGAACAGCAAAAATTCAATGCTACCATCACACGGTATAAAAAACAGTTAACATCATAACATATTGTAGAAAAGTATACAATTAACAACAATATACAAATGTAGTCAACTCTGTCTATTTTGGGTTTAAGCTTTACAAATATTATTTGTGGATTTGATTGATATTATTTATTTATTATTTATGTATTAACTGCATTTCTGTAATGATCATCATCTTTATTTATACCCCGTCACCAACTCCCCAAAGGGGACTCAGGGCGGCTAACATGAGGCCAAGACCAGAATTACAGTACAACAAAATAAAATAAAATACAAACAGCAAGTAATAACATCAAATTAAAATTCTGTGCCACTTTTCTCATGCCTGGGAGACTCAAAGCAGTTACAACAGAAGAAATGGCAAATTCAATGCCTCACATATATATAAAAATATCACTTATCTAAATCAATAACATATAACTGTAGATTAAAACCATTAAAACTATAAAAAATCAAACATAGACATAAGCATGAAACATATTATTGGTGCAATTAACAACATAGACCCCTTCTCTGCCTCCCCCCTCCCCCCACTCCCCATCTCTCCATAGCATTTCAGCCGTTTTTATACCTTTCAATATGGTCTTAGTGGGAATCTGTATGTCCTCCAGCAGGACAAGTCCAAGAGATTGTTAGAGGAGTGTTCATTCTCTTGGGTTAAAAATTATTTTTCTTCTCAGATCCCACTTTTGCAGAATTCCTGAATTCCTAACCCCAATAAATACGAGGGCTGACTAATATAAAAGTCATTCATGCAGAAACAACAGTCTTAAATGATTTCAGCCCAGCTTACCTGTCCAAATGGGAGTCCTCTTGGATTCATTGCTTACGCTTGAGGTTCAGGCGTCGGCGGTGTCTGGGAGGGCTTTCGCACAATTGAGACTCGTGCGCCAACTGTGACCGTACCTCGCGAAGGCAGATCTGGCCGGGGTGGTCCATGCCTTGGTCACCTCCAGATTGGACTATTGCAATGCGCTCTACGTGGGGCTGCCCTTGAAGACGGCTCGGAAGTTCCAACTGGTCCAACGAGCAGCAGCCAGGATGCTAACTGGGGCCCCTTACAGAGAGAGGTCAACCCTCCTGTTCAAGGAGCTCCACTGGCTGCCGTTTATATTCCGAGCCCAATTTAAGGTGCAAGTGCTTACCTACAAAGCCCTGAACGGTTTGGGACCAGTCTACCTGCGTGACCGCATTTCTATCTACGAACCCACGTTCATCTGGAGAGGCCCTGCTCGTGATCCCGCCTGCGTCGGTGGGGACACGGGACAAGGCCTTTTCCGTGGTGGCCCCCGACTTTGGAACACCCTCCCCAAAGATCTTAGACAGGCCCCTACATTGGCAGTCTTCAGAAAGAACCTGAAGACCTGGCTGTTCTGATGTGCCTTTCCAGAATAGGAAAACTCCACTGCCAAGTCCCATAGGCACTTTACTAGAACCAATGATTGCTGCACACCGCACACCGCACTTGCCCTAGAAGCCTCATATATACCACCTGTCACATCAGCACTTTTAACCTTGTACCCATTATCTGGCCCGGCCCAGTTTTATTCTGCTTTAGTGTATTGTTTATTGCCTGTTGTTCTTTTTGCTTTATTTGTTTTAATTGTTTGATTTGCCTAGTCTGCATTGTTGTATTGTTGTTGAGGCCTTGGCCTGTGTAAGCCGCATTGTGTCCTTCGGGAGATGCTAGCGGGGTACAAATAAAGTTTAATAATAAATAATAATAATAATAATAATAATAATAATAATAATGATAATAATAATAATTTCCCTCTATGGACCACCTCAGAGGTTAAGATCTTCTGGGGAGGCCCTGCTCTTGATCCCACCTGGTTGGGATGAGAGACAGGGCCTATTCAGTGGTGGCCCCTTGGTTTATGGGACTCCCCAGCAAAATTAGGTCAGTTCCCTCTTTCCTAACCTTTAGAAAGAAATTCAAGACATCCCCTGCCTTGGCTGTGGGACCAAGCATTCGCAGAGTAAACCAGTGCAATAATTGGACATGAACTAAGTGCATTCATGAATAGAACCCCCGGTAGCGTAATGGGTTAAACTCTTGTGCTGACAGGACTGACAGGTCGAAGGTTTGAATCCAGGGAGAGCGCAGATGATCTCCCTCTGTCAGCTCCAGCTCCCTCTGCGGGGACATGAGAGAAGCCTCCCACAAGGATGGTAAAACATCAAAACATCTGGGCGTCCCCTGGGCAACATCTTTGCAGATGTTGTCCAGGGGATGCCCAGGGGTCAAAGGGGATGCCCAAGGGGTCAAATAAGTGATTTGCAGTTTCTCAAGTCTCTCTTGACACACACACACACACACAACAATTGGAATGGCTCCTGGACTGTGACTTTGGATTTGTGTGGTCTCAGTAATTGGTTTTTAATGTATAGATGTTTTTTACTCTTACGGTTTAATTTATATTATTGTTTTATATGTTTGTTCAAACAGCATTTTTGCCAAATTTGTCATGCCGCTCTGGGGTGAGAAGGGTGAGGTATCAATATAGCAAGTCAATAAATCAATAAATAAAATAAAAAAGCCCCAGTAATGTAAGAAAGGCAAGATTTCACTCATTTCTGCTGAGATAAATGTAAGTTTCTTCAGAGTTATGAACTCAGGCCCGTTCTACACTGCCATGTAAAATCCAGATTATCTGCTTTGAAGTGGATTATATGGCAGTGTTGATTCATATAATCCAGTTCAAAGCAGATAATATAGATTACCTGCTTTGCCAATCTGGATTATATGGCAGTGTAGAAGGGGCCTGGGACAGTTCAAGGCTATGGGTTTTGTCCTCACTAATGGAAGGAATGGTTTATTTATTTACTATATTTATGCCCTGCTTTTCTCACCCCAAAGGAGACTCAGAGCTGCTTACAGATTATGGGAAAATTCAATGCCACATTGTAAATACAAATAATAAATATAACTGTGTTGTGAGTTTTCCAGGCTGTATGGCCATGTTGCAGAAGCATTCCCTCCTGACGTTTCGCCTGCATCTATGGCAGGCATTCTCAGGGGTTGTGAGGTCTCACAACTTTCACAACCCCTGAGGATGCCTGCCATAGATGCAGGCGAAACGTCAAGAGGAAATGCTTCTGCAACATGGTCATACAGCCCGGAAAACTCACAACAGCCCAGTGATTCCTAGCCATGAAAGCTTTCGACAATGCAATAAATCTAACATTTCCAATTATAAAACAATTAAAACATCTAAATGCAATGCAATAAAACTAATTGCTGGAATAACTCTTTCTATTGCTTAATTCCCAATTGGTCAGTGGTTCTACAACTAAAAATAGACCATTCTAGTGAATATTATTGCTGTAGTAGTTTAACAACATAAGCCCCTCTCCTCCCCGCTTCCCCGATCTCCATCTCCCTCCTCGTGATGTCCCAGCCCTTCTTTACTTACTTACTTAGGCGATCCCTCATAGCTCGAGGATGATGGTCCTCCAAGTGCAGTGTCTTGGCAGTGGGTCCGTATGTGGCTTGGAGCCCTATTCTTGATCTGCATGTTCTCCCACAGTGAGGACATTGGTTTCCAGGTGGACATTGCTTGACACGCCTTCCTCTGGGCATGTCTCTCCCTTTCGTCCTCCATTCGTGCCTCTTTGAATTCTGCAGCACTGCTGGTCACAGGTGACCTCCAGTTAGAGCACTTGAGGGCTTCCCAGTTCTCGGTGTCTATGCCATAGTTTTTAAGGTTGGCTTTAAGCCCATCTTTAAATCTCTTTTCCTGTCCAGCAACATTACATTTCCTGTTCTTGAGTTGGGGATATAGTAACTGCTTTGGGAGGCGGTGATTGGGCATTCGGACAACGTGGCCAGTCCAGCGGTGTTGATGGCATAGCAGCATCGCTTCAATACTGGTGGTCTTCTTTACACCCTCTCCAATCTACCTGTCCCCACAGATCACAAGGTTCCTTGGCTCTGACCTTTCTTTCTATTCTTCCTCCTTCCTTCCTTTCATTTTCCCATTCAGGTCCAAAGACGGAAGCGACTCTCCCATCCCCGGGCACACTCTCATTGCTGCAGCACATTCCCCCACCTCCTCCGCCCAAAAACCCAGCTCGGCTGATGGCCCTGGCCCTGGCGGAGAGCGCACACCAGGTGGCCCTGCAGCAGAAACAGCAGGCCAGTCTTGGGCCGAAGCAGCCCCGGAGGCATTTCCGACGCTCCCTGTCATTGGAGTGTAAGGCAGGAGAGCTGACGAGCGGCGCACGGGCACTTTACTCCATGGTGCGCCCCAACGTCAAGGCTGCTGGCCCCTCTTCCCTGCAGGGACAGGTTCGGGGCAGGAGCAGAGGCAGTGAATGCCATGACCGCCGAGGAGGAAACCGGGTAAGAAGTTGCTTTAAGAAGGGATGAGCTGGACTGACCATTAATCAAGGTGTGGATGTTGGTTTACTATTGAAAGGCAGGGGATGTTTTGAATGATTTAGTATGTTGTCATGGGTTCAGGAAAATCATGCATCTTTATCATCTTCCTTTAAACCAGTGGTTCTCAACATTCCTAATGCAGCAACCCCTCATGTTGTGGTGACCCCCAACCATACAATTATTTTCATTGCTACTTCATAACTGGAATTTTGCTACTGTTATGAATTGTAATGTAAATATCTGATATGCAGGATGTATTTTCATTCACTGGACCAAATTTGGCACAAATACCTGTGCTCTCTGGATGTGGGTGAACTACAACTCCAAAACTCAAGGTCAATGCCCACTAAACCCTTCCAGTATTTCCCGTTGCTCATGGGAATTCTGTGTGCCAAGTTTGGTTCAATTCCATCCTTTGTGGAGTTCAGAATGTTCTTTGATTGTATATTAACTATAAATCCCAGCAACTGCAACTCCCAAATGACAAAATCAATCTCCCGCCCCAACCCCACCAGTATTCAAATTTGGGCGTACTGGGTATTTGTGCCAAATTTGGTCCAGTGAATGAAAATGCATCCTGCATATCAAATAATTACTTTATGATTCATAACAGTAGCAAAATTACAGTTATGAAAGTAGCAATAGTTGGGGGTCACCATAACATGAAAAACTGTATTAAGGGGTAGCGGCATCAGGAAGGTTGAGAACCAGTGACCTAGAGGGCTATCTTAGTTCTTAACTATTTTATATAAAAAAGGGCAGTTTCCAACTTGATTCCATTCTCTATTAGTCATAAGTTTTTTTAAAAAGTAATGTGAAACATTATGGGCAACTGCATCATCATTTTATGTTATTAAAATAATAGCAATCATTTGCCTTTTTGGATACTATCATATAATTGGAATGCACGACTGCAGTGCAATAACTTTTCGAGTTCTGTGCCCCTGACTATCTTCCTTGCTTTGTTTTTCTGCAGCTGCTGCTCAACCAGGCCTCTCCTGTGGGCAGTTCGGATTCCTTTTCCCCTTCCCGAAAGGTCCTCACTGACATGTCCCATAAAGACCCGCCATTGCATTCCTTCTCTGATCCTTACCACCTCTCCTCCCAGACCTCTGTCTCATCAGCTGCCTACAGTCTTCATCACCAGCCACCTCCAATATCATTTTCCTACCGTGCCCCACGCCACCCTCATGAGCCCTATCCTTTGTCCAGCCAGTCTCCCGCCCCACCTAAACCTCCTCCCCCTCCACACTTTCCCGTAACCCCTCGCCATTTGCCCGTCAAAGGCAGGCCCCCTGGCTTCCAGTCCTATCTCCCAGATCATCGACATCATGGACGTTTCCCGGCCTCCTCTCGGGGTGGCGTGAACGGGACCCCACCTCCCCAGATGGAGCATGAAAATCTCTACTATGAGATTGTTGGGGAGCCTCCTGCTTACCCTGGAATGGCACGGCCCTGGCCAAGTTGCCCACCCCCTGAGTACTTTGCCACTTTCAATGCATCCTACGGTGTGTTTGAGAGACCGTGGCGCCAGCCCTACCTCCCTCCAGCCCCATCTTCTCTCCAAACAATCCTCAATAATCCTCGCTCGCATCCCCAGCCAATGCCTCCCACGGTGACCCGGCAGGAGCCCATTTATGTCAACATACCGTTTCCCGAGCCCCCTTCCATCACTCCCACTCCTTCCCCTCCACTGGAAATGGCACATCCCCGTAGCCATTCTGATCCCGGGGCTCCTCAGCCTCTCTTACACCACAGCAGGCCTCCATTGCCTCAGAAGCAGAAGTTTGGCTGGGGCTGCCCACCGACGGGGCAATACCGCCAGTTCATGGATGTTTTGCCATGCAGCCGTACTTTGCTACAGTTCTACCGCCCTCCCTCAGCGTGTTTGGGCCGTCCTCCCTACGGGCCAGAGCCCATCATCACCTACGATGGACCCCCTGCCCATCTGGGGAACCAAGCCTCCGCTTCCCTGTCATCTTTGCGGAAGTTGGAGGAGTCTCCTGCTCAGTATGGCAATGTGGAGAGGAGGGAAGGGTCTCCTTCTGGGTGCTACCTGGGACCCAGCTGGACTGTGTACACAGAAGGCCAGACACATAGCTACTGCTGAGAGACAGTACCCTGTTTGGGATTCTTGGGGCTGGGCTCCGGGTTTCTCCCCTCATCTGAGGAATTTATTTTGTGGTACTCTTTGATGTGAAAAGTGCAGGCATTGGATGGAAGACTATCTATTTTGACAGGTGGCAGTGACATCACATTCCAGATCATTTGTTGGTGGCTGTGCTGGCCTGTTCTGAATTGCTGAATACTTAAACCTAGTGGACATTTCAAGAGCACACGAATCTCCGAAGGCAGCTCCGGCACTTGCGTGGTGCCCCACAAAAGACACGATGTTGCAGTGGAGCGTTTGGATCATATCACTTCAGCCTCTTTGATGCCATAACGGCTCTGCTAATTGTGTCATCACATGACTCGCCCTATTTTTGTTCTGCTCCATGTCACATCTCTTTCCTTTGATTCCCTTCCCCACTCAGCAGGGAATTCCTAACATCCTTGCCGGAGAACTTTGTTCCCACTGGAACAGTGACCTAGTTGAACCCCTGTCCCGTGATTTCATCCTCCTGGTCTACACCGCTCCTGCAGCAGCACCCACATCTAATGTGAATATTACTGGTAGCTATGCCCCCGGTGGTGCAGTGGGTTAAACCATTGAGCTGCTAAACTTGCTGACTGAAAGGTCGCAGGTTCGAATCAAGGGAGCGACTTGAGCTTCCACTGTCAGCCCCAGCTTCTGCCAACCTAGCAGATCAAAAAATGGAAATGTGAGTAGATCAATAGGTACTGGTGCTCCAGGAAGGTAATGGTGCTCCATGCAGTCATGCCAGCCACATGGCCTTGGAGGTGTCTACGGACAACGCCGGCTCTTCGGCTAAGAAATGGAGATGAGCACCAACCCCAGAGTCTTGACACTACTGGACGTAATGTCAGGGGAAAACCTTTACCTTTAGCTATGCTCACAGAGATGCAGTGTGCAGAATGGACACTGTGGGGCACTGTTGGCCATCCTATGCTCCTGTATTGCACCATTGTGTGATATCACAGGCAATTCAGTGGAAGGCAGGGTCTGAGTGAAGGGTGAGTGGAAGTGGGAGCAGCAATTAAAATGTCTTTCCTTTGCGTATTTGCAGCATGTTCTAACATTTTAATAATTGTCTTTAACCCAATTAAAACATTAACAGCACCTTCTTTCTGCTGCTCTCTCGGAGATTCAGCCAATTCCTGGGAAGCTGCAGTAGAGAAGAACCCCAATACTTACCTATGTGCCAGAGGGGGAAAAGSGATGCTTTTGATGATAAAAATGCACCTCCGACACACACACACACACCTTGCTGTTTCCTTGTTGATCCTGCGCTCCTAGCTTCAAAACTGCGCAGTCCGTGGTGTGTTCAGAGAATTCAAACTGGGTGGGATGGGTGGGAGCTAATTGGCACATTTGTGTGTTTATTTAACATCGGAGGGACTTTGTATATGTGTGAGTGTGTAGGGGTGGGTTTTAAGATGCATGTGTGCCTGGCATAAAATGCTTACGTACATCTTCCTAAGCCTGGGAGCCAGGCTTGTGTGTGCTGGAGCGGAGATAGAGTCGGGTATTCATGTCTGTGAGGTATGTATGTGTTTGTGTCTGGTGTGGACTTTGGTGTGCGTCTGTGGAGATGTTTATATATATTTCATGGGCAGTATTTCAGGCCTGTGGGCTGGGGAAGGAGAATCTATGCCTTATTCCCAGTTGAGCAGGCTGTCCTTGCTCAACCACCCCACTCGGGCGACACGTCAGTCCCTTGTGGCACCCAACCCAAAAGCACTTTTTATGTGGCCTCTGGGCTTCTTTTAGACTCCTTAGAATGTCAGGTTTCATTTAAAGGAAGCAAACGGCAGTGACGACGCCTCTCCCACATCACTGACTCTTTTGTTCTTGTTGTCGTTCCTTTTTAGCATGATCCAAACCAATGTACGCGTGTGGGCTGCTATTGTTTTCAGTCAGTGAGGGGGGTTTCTCTCTCTCTCACTCCCATGAAAATCAAAGGCTCCCCCAAAGTTCTTAGATCTGAGCCAATATGTAACCGTCCTGTCCTGTGTTTTCTTGCTGGGAAGTCAGTCCCAGGGAAGTACACATAGGACTGAATCCTTAAACTCGTTGTTTTGAAGTTCTCTGCAAGGTTTGTCAGGGTTCAATCTCACAGGAGTTTGGGAGTAGCCCTACTTAGATCTCGGCCACCCCAGCTGGCTGGCATTCTTCGGTGGTGAGATCCAGATCATCCTTCTGAAATAGAGCCATTTAGAGAGTCGTGGATAGTGAGAACCAGACCGCTAGGCCACTGTAGACCATGCCTGGCGAGACAAGTTATAATCCAATGTTCCAAATGAAGAAATTTCATCAAGTTGAAGAAGTCACCGAGGTATTTTATTCCATCAGCTGCAGTCTCACCTCACAGAGAGAGTCCCTCGCAACTGATTGTGACATCAATGCGGCTTCACCAATCAGCACAGATTGGCAAAGGGGCAGGAGTGGGATAGACAAAGAATTGCATAATAATAATAATAATAATAATATAAAGCTGACGCAATATGAGGATTTAAAGATCGAACTGCAACGATTCTGGCACAAGCCAGTCAAGGTAGTCCCAGTGGTGATCGGCACACTGGGTGCAGTGCCTAAAGACCTTAGCCTGCACTTAAACACAATTGATGCTGACAAAATTACCATCTGCCAGCTGCAGAAGGCCACCTTACTAGGATCTGCACACATTATTTTCCGATACATCACACAGTCCTAGACACTTGGGAAGTGCCCAACATGTGATCCAATTCAACAGCCAGCAGAGTGTCTGCTGTGAACTCATTGTATTTCAAATAATAATAATAACTTTATTTTTATACCCCGCCACCATCTCCCTGAAGGGGCTTGGGGTGGCTTACAGGAGGACATGGCCAAAAAATACTGATTAAAACAAACACTATAAAGCACAACAACAGAGAGGAAACAAACAAGGACATCTAATCATCACCTCTCAACAAAAAGATTGCTCCAGGCACTGCCAGGCAATCAAATGCTAATCAAGGTGGTCAGCTGAAACATTCACACCTAGCTCCAGCAGACAAGAATCCTTTGTCTCACTCTGGTCATTCCACAGATATATAACCCCTTTTTCCTAATTCCAACAGACCTCACTACCTCTGAGGATGCTTGCCATAGATGCAGGCGAAACGTCAGGAGAAATGTCTCTAGAACATGGCCATATAGCCCTAAAAAAACCTACAACAACCCAAACACTATAAAAATCAACAACATCACATCAGAAATAAAACATATTTCACAGTCACAACATTTTAAAAACAATATCATGGCTGAATGATTAAGTGCTGAATGAGGAGGGCTTCAGGGTATGTGCAATGGTTCATAAAATACCTTGGTGGCTTCTTCAACTTGGTAAGATTTCTTCATTGGGAACTTCGGATTATAGCTTCTCGCCAGGCATGGCCCAGAGTGGCCTAGCGGTCTGGATCTCACTATCCACAACCACTCTAAATTGCTCTATTTCACTTCTACCATCTAAATGGAAAGCCCCATGTGTACAAAAGATATATATGCAAATGACTCCAAGATTTATTCCAATATAGTTCTCAACATAGAGAGAGCAATGAGTATCAGATTGTGGTGTGACACCTTCCCCCTCTCCCCCGTTTGTTCCATTTTAATTGCAGAAGTTGCACTAAAGTTGCCTTTGGTTTTTTTATATTCTTGCTGTGGAAATGATGTCCACCCTCCTCTAGATCGCTTTACCTTCTTACAGTCCTTGGTTTCTTGGAAAGTTGCTTCTTAAGATACTTTGCAAAGACGTGAACATACACTTTAAAAAATTCCTAAACTCCTATGTAAAATAGGCTGTCAGAACTTGAATCCATGCTCTGGTCTGTATTGGATTGGAATTTCTTTATACCTTCGGTGGAAACTGTGGAAGGGTTTCCTATATGTTTACTATTTCACTTAATATACAGAATCTGTGGGGTTCACTTGTTGCAAACCTGGAGGAATGCTGAACATCCTGAAAATAAATGTAGACTTCTGCATTTTTCAGGGCGGTTCCGGACAGTGGAAAAATCCGCACTGACCCGGGTTTAAAAAACTTTAAAAAGCATTTAAAAAAGAAAATAACTTGTGGCGCTGACATTTCCCTGCTGCCGGCCCTCTCCTGGTGCTTAGGAGTGAGTTTCCTCCTTCCCTTGTCCTGTGGCATCCAGCTCCATAAGTTATTTTCTTTTTTAAAGGGTTTGGAGGTGGGGTTGGGGAGGAGTTTGGTGCCCTCATGGTTTTCCAGGCTGATTTAGCTCTGAAAAACATGAGACTGCTGTCTGGACTGCTCCCTCATGGTTTTCCAGGCTGATTTAGCTCTGAAAAACATGAGACTGCTGTCTGGACTGCTCCCTCAGAAGTTCCGGACAGCGGCCATAGTGGGTTCAATCCGCATCTTCCAAGAAGGCTTGGCACAAACTCATTCTCAGATTAATTCACTGCAATGCAGGGTCTTCCTGCTTTGTGGCGAATGAACTCATTTTTACGTGGGGTGTTGTTTGGACGCCCCACTTGAAAATGCGGGACCTCCCGCTTTTAAAGGGCTGTCTGGATGCGCCCTCAGATCTAGGTAAATACTGATGCCTATAGTTTGGGTCTATCAACACTCACAGCGTTATACTTGATCATGACACTGTGTGATACAAGATCTTAGCCAGTGCATTGTGAAACCCAGATTTGGGTTGGAACTGGTTTCAGGCAGATGCCTCCAATGTTCCCGGACAGAACAGGTGATGACTGCTTTGATGTGGACCAGTTTGAAATATCCAGCAGATCAGGGCAGAAGAGGATAATAGCATGGATTATACCAGGGGTCCTCAAACTAAGGCCCGGGGGCCGGATGCGGCCCTCCAAGGTCATTTACCCGGCCCTTGCTCAGGGTCAACCTACGTCTGAAATGACTTGAAAGCACACAACAACAACGACAATAAGCCTATGTCATCAGCCAAAAGCAGACTCACACTTCCTATTGAAATACTAACAAGTTTATATTTGGTAAAATTGTTCTTCATTTTAATTATATTGTTTTTAAGTGTTTTCTGCACAGATATGTGCAGTGTGCATAGGAATTCATTCATTTTTTTTCAAATTATAATCCGGCCCTCCAACAGTTTGAGGGACTGTGCCCTGGCCCTCTGTTTAAAAAGTTTGTGGACCCCTGGATTATACCATTTCAAACTTTGTTTTGGACTACTTGTGCCCCTTTATGAAAAAGCATTTGAAAGAGGAAAAAACCCATTGAGAAAACAGGATGCAATTTGTTTTGTTTTTGTTTTGTTTAAAAACCCTTCTTCTGCAAGTTTTCAAACTACAAGAAAGGAGATTCCATCTGAACATTGGGAAGAACTTCCTGATTGTGAGAGCTGTTCAGCAGTGGAACACTCTACCCCGAAGTGTGGTAGAGGCTCCTTCTTTGGAAGCTTTTAAACAGAGGCTGGATGGCCATCTGTCGGGGGTGCTTTGAATGCAATTTTCTTGCTTCTTGGCGGGGGGTTGGATGGATGGCCCATGAGGTCTCTTCCAACGCTATGATTCTATGACCCCTTCAAGGTTTGCCTAAATGATACTGTCCTCTTGCTCCTTTAAGCAGCCTTCTACTCCAGAGTTGGGCAACTTACGATGTTCTCAGTGTTTCTGGATTCCAATTCTAGTCAGTAGAGCCAGTTTTTTTGGAGGGAGGGGAGAATTCTTAGAAGATCTGGAGG